TGGTCAATTAAATGACTAATCCCCCGTGGGGGTTCCGCACGGGGCGCGCGCGCGCGCGCACGCGCGCCTGCATGCGCGCACGCGCGCCTGCATGCGCGCACGCGCGCGCGCCCCGCGCGCGCGCCCGCCCGCCGCCCGCGCGCCCGCCGCGCGCCACGCCGCCCGCCCGCGCGCGCGCGCGCGCGCGCGCCACACCACACACACGCACGCACGCACGCACGCACGCGCGCGCACGCACGCACGCACGCACACGCACGCACACGCACGCACACGCACACACACACACACACACACACACACACACACACACACACACACACACACACACACACACACACACACACACACACACACACACACACACACACACACACACACACACACACACACACACACACACACACACACACACACACACACACACACACACACACACACACACACACACACACACACACACACACACACACACACCACACACACACACACACACACACACACACACACACACACACACACACACACACACACACACACACACACACACACACACACACACACACACACACACACACACACACACACACACACACACACACACACACACACACACACACACACACACACACACACACACACACACACACACACACACACACACACACACACACACACACACACACACACACACACACACACACACACACACACACAACTTTAGTCTCTTTCAGATAACAAGCTTGCCAACTGACCTTCTAAACCATAGGGAGCAAAGACCCTCCTCTCTGTCAGCAGGGATAAAGTTAAAGTGCGCCGAAAGAGGAGTTCTCTGACAACACCATCGCCACCATAGAAACGACCTCGACCTCCAGTTCCAGGATTCAGCTTGAAACACTGAAGGATGATTGGGTACCTGGCCACAGAAATTAAAAAGTGTGAGTTTTCTAGGTTTGCAAGCTTATTTTTAAACATTTCATTTCTCATTTTCTTCTTCTTTTTTTTTTTCTAATATTTTTTTTATCTCCAATTATTTCTTCGTCTTCACTGTCTTCTTCTTACCATCTTCATCTCCTTCTTTATCTTTATCATTACAATCTTCTACCTCTTTTTCATCTTCTTCTTTTTCTCTTGACCACCTTTTCCCTCTTCTTCCTTCTGCTGCCTTCTATCTTCCAGTGAAGCCTAGGTCTTCAAACAAAAACGCACATATCTATCCCATCCTTTGCTGCAGCCTCCTTTATGTCCTCCTCGTATTCTTCCCCTCTGTCTATAATTTTCTTCTTCATTTTTAAGTTCTCCCTCTACTTCTTTTGCTCTGTGGATTTCAGAGGAAGAACTTTCTATCTAGTTATACCATTAACTCTTTCATGACCAGTTAGGCATGATTTTAACTCAATATTTCCTAGGATGTTACGTTTACTAATTGTACTCAGTTTCTTCCATGGTGCGACTCTCACACCACTGTCTGAAAGCCAAAAGAATGGCCTTTTTTCTAAACTGCCCAACATGGAAATCTAACCCTATTAGACACTGAGGATTAAAACCATTTTATTAACCCTTAAGCTGCAGGGATTAATAATACTTGATTAATAAATGCTTGATTAAGAAATGCTTGATTAATAAATGCTTGATTAATAAATGCTTGATTAATAAATGCTTGATTAATAAATGCTTGATTAATAAATGCTTGATTAATAAATGCTTGATTAAGAAATGCTTGATTAATAAATGCTTGATTAATAAATGCTTGATTTATAAATGCTTGATTAAGAAATGCTTGATTAAGAAATGCAAAATTCTGTCATTTGTTTGCTTGAGTACACTGGCTGTAAAACTCTGGCTGAAAGACCTGGTGGGTCGTCCCTATCTGGACTCTGACTTTGTTCCAGAACCTGTGTTTTGTATGTGCATCCATTTTACAGATATGTGCAGATGAACTCAGACTTTGAAGGAATAGCCGAGCCTATCTCCAGGATGAGAAGTGGACTGTAGCCAGTCTGAAACTGTTGTTGCCAGGTATTAGGACTAGCAGTTGAAAGACATCTGAACCTTTGTCATATAGTAGGAGCCTTGGGTTGTGAACTTTGCTCCTTGTACGATAAGTTCTCTATAGACCTGGTCATCCATTCGGGGGTAGGCTGAGAGAGCCAGTGGTTGTCTGGACACTGAGACAGAATAAGACAGAGTCAAAACTGGAGCAGAATGAGCTAGTGAAACAACAGGATGGAGTAGAAAGAATTAAGGAAAGTACATCTATAATCTGAAACCAACAAATGCTGGGTAAGTTGCCTGGTATGAATGAGTTTTAATCAAAGAATACACATTAGATAAATGTACAGAAAAAAAACACAGCAGATAAATGTACAAGAAGAAAGAGTAGATAAATGTACAGAAGAAGAAAGAGTAGGTAACTGTACAGAAGAAGACAGTAGGTAACTGTACAGAAGAAGACAGTAGATAACTGTACAGAAGAAGACAGTAGGTAACTGTACAGAAGAAGACACAGTAGATAAATGTACAGAAGAAGACAGTAGGTAACTGTACAGAAGAAGACACAGTAGATAAATGTACAGAAGAAGTCACAGTAGATAAATGTACAAGAAGAAGAACAAGTAGATAAATGTACAGAAGAAGACACAGTAGATAAATGTACAGAAGAAGACAGTAGGTAACTGTACAGAAGAAGACACAGTAGATAACTGTACAGAAAAAGACACAGTAGATAACTGTACAGAAGAAGACACAGTAGATAAATGTACAGAAGAAGTCACAGTAGATAAATGTACAAGAAGAAGAACAAGTAGATAAATGTACAGAAGAAGACACAGTAGATAAATGTACAGAAGAAGACAGTAGGTAACTGTACAGAAGAAGACATTAGGTAACTGTACAGAAGAAGACACAGTAGATAAATGTACAGAAGAAGACAGTAGGTAACTGTACAGAAGAAGACACAGTAGATAAATGTACAGAAGAAGACAGTAGGTAACTGTACAGAAGAAGACAGTAGGTAACTGTACAGAAGAAGACACAGTAGATAAATGTACAGAAGAAGTCACAGTAGATAAATGTACAAGAAGAAGAACAAGTAGATAAATGTACAGAAGAAGACACAGTAGATAAATGTACAGAAGAAGACACAGTAGATAAATGCCCTACAAGAAGAAGACGACCAGTAGATTAATGTACAGCCAGAACAAGTAGACTGTACACAGTAGATAAGTAACAGAAGAAGACACAGTAGATAACTGTACAGAAGAAGAACAAGTAGATAAATGTACAGAAGAAGACACAGTAGATAAATGTACAGAAGAAGAACAAGTAGATAAATGTACAGAAGAAGACACAGTAGATAAAATGTACAGAAGAAGACAGTAGGTAACTGTGAAGGACAGACTGTACAGAAGAAGACACAGTAGATAAATGTACAGAAGAAGACAGTAGGTAAACTGTACAGAAGAAGACACAGTAGATAAATGTACAGAGAAGACAGTAGGTAACTGTTACAGAAGAAAGACAGTAGGTAACTGTACAGAAGAAGACACAGTAGATAAATGTACAGAAAGAAAGTCACAGTAGATAACTGTACAAGAAGAAGAACAAGTAGATAAATGTACAGAAGAAGACACAGTAGATAAATGTACAGAAGAAGACACAGTAGATAAATGTACAGAAGAAGACAGTAGGTAACTGTACAGAAGAAGACACAGTAGATAACTGTACAGAAGAAGACACAGTAGATAAATGTACAGAAGAAGTCACAGTAGATAAATGTACAAGAAGAAGAACAAGTAGATAAATGTACAGAAGAAGACACAGTAGATAAATGTACAGAAGAAGACAGTAGGTAACTGTACAGAAGAAGACACAGTAGATAAATGTACAGAAGAAGACAGTAGGTAACTGTACAGAAGAAGACACAGTAGATAAATGTACAGAAGAAGACACAGTAGATAACTGTACAGAAGAAGACACAGTAGATAAATGTACAGAAGAAGACACAGTAGATAAATGTACAGAAGAAGACACAGTAGATAAATGTACAGAAGAAGAACAAGTAGATAAATGTACAGAAGAAGACACAGTAGATAAATGTACAGAAGAAGACACAGTAGATAAATGTACAGAAGAAGTCACAGTAGATAAATGTACAGAAGAAGAACAAGTAGGTAAATGTACAGAAGAAGACACAGTAGATAAATGTACAGAAGAAGTCACAGTAGATAAATGTACAAGAAGAAGAACAAGTAGATAAATGTACAGAAGAAGACACAGTAGATAAATGTACAGAAGAAGACAGTAGGTAACTGTACAGAAGAAGACACAGTAGATAACTGTACAGAAGAAGTCACAGTAGATAAATGTACAGAAGAAGACAGTAGGTAACTGTACAGAAGAAGACACAGTAGATAAATGTACAGAAGAAGTCACAGTAGATAAATGTACAAGAAGAAGAACAAGTAGATAAATGTACAGAAGAAGACACAGTAGATAAATGTACAGAAGAAGACACAGTAGATAAATGTACAGAAGAAGACACAGTAGATAAATGTACAGAAGAAGACAGTAGATAAATGTACAGAAGAAGAAAGAGTAGATAAATGTACAGAAGAAGACACAGAAGATAAACGTACAGAAGAAGACATAGTAGATATATGTACAGAAAGAAGACACAGTAGATAAATGTACAGAAGAAGAAAGAATAGATAAATGTACAGAAGAAGACACAGTAGATATATGTACAGAAGAAGAAAGAGTAGATGAATGTACAAGAAGAAGACACAGTAGATAAATGTACAGGAAAAGAAAGAGTAGATAATGTACAGAAGAGGAAATAGAATATGAATGTATAGAAGAAGAAAGAGTAGACAAATTTGCAGGAGAAGAAAGACTAGATAGGTAATATAGAGAAGAAGAAATAGTAGATAAATGTATACAGAAGAAGCTTAAATAAACATAAACTGCTGACTGAAACGTAAGAAGTTCATGAAACTTGTTACCTCTTCTCTATGATCTCTGGGTCAGTGATTCTTGTATTGGTCATGTGTGTGTGGACTCCACTCCTGCCGTTCCAAGTAGGCCCCTTGTGAGTGGAAGACATTGTTATTGAATATCACTGGCAAGTGAATATGATGAATAATCAATGTTCCATCACTTAAGACAAGTTTATAAGTGTTCAGTCCCTCCCAGTAAAAGTTAAAGGCAGTAGATGCTAAGGATTTCTGTTCTGAACTAGTTAAACACAAATGAGAACCATCTGCACCCATGGTAATTTCTACCTGCTCTCTAGTTAACGAATAACTGTAATCAATTAGCATTCAATAGGTGGTGTGGTCAACACCTTGCCAGCCACCTTTAACTTTCCAGGAATTTTCTGGTACCCATTCTAGGCTCTGTCCACTTGGCAGCCAAGATCAGCAATCACAGACAGAAGTGTGAGGGAATTATTTCATTTTGTAAGTAGCTGTTTAGCCTCTTGTGTCCTGTCCTGATACAGAGGATTCCATATTTTGCTCAGTCAATACAGCAATATTTGTAATGTCTTATGACTGGTTCAGTTTTCTTTGTTCACCGGCTGTAAGCTACAGAGGAAAGTCCTGGTTGTTCATCCAAGTAGATAAATGTACAAGAAGACACAGAGACTTTCTTAAATGGGTGGTTGCCACATTGTGTTGTGGTTTACAGCTAGACTGCGATATCTGTGCCTATCGCCCAAAGACATCCGATTTCAGTAAAGTCCCAGTTAGCCTCCCCTCGATGCTTCTCGGTCAAAAACTATTCCACGATGACAGAAACTTTCAACTAAGAAGGCTTACAGTCCAGTTTAGTTTGGGTGGACACGGATGCCAAAGTCAGTTAAAAATCTCACTTCCGAGAGGGATAGATGACGTGTGGGGGGTATTTTTCTCCGCTATTTGTTAGTATAGTGTACTTTTTATTGTGGGTTCCATCACTGGTTAGGTGATGATGTTGTTTTTTTTCTTTCTATTTTATATTAAACTAAACAGTACATGGCGACAGCATGCGGTGCTAACACTTCTGGCTACACCAATCTACACATACTGTTGTGACAGTTTTTGTTGTTGTTATTGTTGTTGTGATAGTGGTGGTGGTAGTGGTAGCAGTAGTCTGGTACTGCATGGGTGATGTGGTAGCTGTTAACGCTGGCCACATGTACTTCTCAATACACATTAATGCTACCCAATTTAATCTGGGTGGACACGGATGCCAAGCTTAATTTTATTACAATATTTCATCAGATGATGACTTTCCCATCCTTCGGAGAGGATGATATGATTAGTGGGGGAAAAGGGGGGGGGGGGGGGGGGGGGGGGGGGGGGGGGGGGGGTTAGGGAGGTTTATGCCAGACACTATTAACTGAGACAGCTTAAAACAGTATTTTAGGGTTCTCATTTCTAAACTATTTTTGTTTAAATAATTTCGACAGGGACGATTTGTCAATCCTTTAGGAAGGTATATATGACTAGGTCGATGGGAGAGGGGTGGGGGGGGGGGGGGGGGGGGGGTTGACAGACACTGTTAACTGATAGCTATTTTCTTTCTTTTCCATTTCACTATTCTGGGCCACAGCAACTCGTGGCCGGGTACAGCTAGTAGTACATAAATGTATAAAAATGAAGACCATATTGGGCAGATGCACTCTGACTTCGAAGGACATTCCAAATTAGTCGACTCCTATGACATGCTTATTGAAGTCGCAGTGGGTATGTTCTTGTTTTTCCAACAACAGGGCCCTAAAACTCACACAGGGACTCAAAGACTTGACAAGGATCTGTTTATAATTTTACACAAACAATTATTCAGTTTATTCCAAAAATGTGTACATTGTACTCACAGCTCCGGCCCCACCGGCAACCGTTTCATAGTAACCAACTTTCTCATCGCCAAAAGTCACATTATTCATGCAGCCCTGAAACAAAGCAGAACTTCATAAGTCTACAACTAACGTCTACAATTTGTCACATTATTCATACAAAAAAGTTAGTTGCATATCCTTGACAGGATGTTGCAGAACCAACAACATTTTTGTGTGTTGCTGTTTGAGGTTTTACTGGGAATGTGTTCATTGTTCATACAGCCCTGAAATAACGGAGAGCTACATGAGCCAGGTAAAAATGTTAATTTCTAAAAATTATGACACTGTTTATATAGCCCTGAAATTAAGAAGACCTACCTAAGCAGGGTGAAAATGTTAATTTCTAAAAATTATGACACTGTTTATACAGCCCTGAAATTAAGAAGACCTACCTAAGCAGGGTGAAAATGTTAATTTGTAATAATTATGACATTTTTCATTTAACCTGAAATAAAGGAGAGCAACGTAAGTTGTAAAAATGATGATTTCTAAAAATGATACAGCCCCAAAATAAAGGACAGCAATGTAAGGGGTGGAAAGTTGTTTCTTAAAAAATTTTACTGTTCAGGCAGCCTTGAATTAAAGCAGAATTACATAAAGTCATATTTTTAAAAAGTTAGTTGAGTATCCTATACAGGAGTTGTAGAACCAACCCCATAATTTTTTTTGGGCTGTTGTGGTTTTTCTAGGCAAATTTACGTCCAGCAGTTTGCTACTGTTTTCTGGACTGTTGGCTTCTCAGTACCACTGTCAAAACCAACCCAAAGCACAAAGCCGGCAGCTGGGATCGTACCCGGCACCCCGGCATTACGTGGCACGTTCACAATGCCTAAGCCACAGATGCCAACATTACTGTCTGTATGTACCCCTCTTTAGGGCGGTGTAGACAGGGAGTCGAGACCCTAAGGATTTTGGGCCGCACGGCTAGTGCTGTCGCCATGGACTGTTCAGGTTAGGATGTTTAATTCAGCCCCCAACAGAAACTCCATCACCTTACTATGGGTTGAACCCAGGTCTCCCACACGAGAGCCTGACATTGTAACTGCTCAGCCAGCCACGCCTCAAAAAACTATGTAAGTCTGCAGAAAATTTGTACAAGATCCCCAACATTGTCAGTGTTCAGCATCATCATCATCATGTTGATACATAATCTGTTACACAAAGTCAGAGTTTATTCAACCTTTTCATTCTATCCTATCCAATTGTTTCAATATTTTAGATGGAATGTAATCCAGCACCTTTGGCCTCTCTCATTAAGGTTCACCTGAGGGTTTCTTTTGGGTGTCCTCATTCTATAAATCCATTAATTTCCCTTTAAGATTATCTGACTGGAGATTATCTGTTTACTTCTACTCAGGATGTGCACAATATATTCTCTGTTCCTTTTTGTTTATATAGCTGTTAAATAAAACTGAATTATGTAAGCTGACGTAAAATGTTAACTGTAAAAAATTTGCAAGCTGTTCATACAGCCTGAAATAAAGCAGAATTATGTAAGTCTACTTAAAATGTTAACTTCTAAATAATTATAATACAGCTGAATTATGTAGGTTGACAGAAAATTGTTAAGTTCTAAAAAATTTTCCAGATGTTCAAACAGCCCTGAAATAGAGCAAAATTATACAAGTCAACAGAAAATGTCAACTTCTAAAAATCATCAACAGAAAACCAACAACAGGTAGATGTAATGGACATGAGATAAAATTAAAAACATTAACAAACAGAATCAACATAACATTGTGTGCTGTCAAATGGTTTTTAGCTAACTTTCAACCTAGTATGTCAGAATTATAAAATTAAGTTTTCAATACCTGGAAATGAAGACACTGACCAGGGGAAATGAACAAACCACTAGGCAAAAATATAAGTGCTCTACTTTCATACAGGCTAGATACACAATGACAGTGGCAACTGGCGAACACAGCTCTCTCTCTCTTTGTCTCTCTCTCTCTCTCTCTCTCTCTCTGTGTGCGTACGTGTGTGCATGTTTGTGTGCGGGGACACATGGTCTGACCAAATGTAATTGGTTAGATAGCAATGGCACCGTGGCTAGGATCAACTGAGATGTAATTTACAGCAACACCAAAAAAATACCAACAAACAGAGCAACAGTAAGTTCCTTAGAAGCACCATACCTGAGAAGCAGCACAAACTTCAAAGGCCCTGAAAACAACATCCACAATCCTTTGAGATGTGAGCACATTGCCTCCAACAACTGCAGCTTGCTCTGACGGGTCAATGATGCTACCCTTGGGCATGATCACCTTAATGGGTGCCAGGCAACCCTATGGAGAGTTACACAAATGAGCAATGAAAGGAAAATAACTGACTATTTGGCATTAACATGGTGTTACTTTTAAAACTCCTTCGCCTCCGGGAAGGCTAAGCGAGGCAAAAAATGCCTACAGACGTTGGATGTCTCGGCCAAAAGGCGTAAATATCACCGCCATGTTGTAGTGCATTTACATCTTTGGATGAACACAGGAGAAGAAGAAGCGAGTCTACACCGGCTGTCAACTCTGATGAACAGTTCTGTCTGTTCCTCCACTTCTAGACTTCAAAGTTTTCTTCCATAACTTGGGGTTTGCATGCACATCCATTTCACAGATCTGGCTTATTTGTATGCAGACTGTTGGTTCCTTGCCTCTCAGGCAGGTGCACTCCAGCTTAGAAGGAAACACCCTTAATTAGTAGCCTCTAATGATATGCCAGTTAGGAGAACAATAGACCTTTACCTCCTCCCCCACACACTCACACAATGAGGCACTAGAACTCAAAATGGGAATATTTAAAACAGCAAATTATATTTCAAACCCCCCCCCCCCCCCCCCCCAAAAAAAAAAAACTCACTAAATTTTACTTACCAGTGTATCTTAAATTATCTTCTACCATTCATTCCCATATGGAGAACAGACCAAATCACGCCACATGGTCTTATCTTTGCCATCGCTGCACCTCTCCCCATGTCCTCTCCCCACCTCATTCTCTAGTTTTTCTTCTCTCTGTGTTTTTGGTCTTCCTTATTTTTTTGACCCACTGGTTTTCAAAGCAAAGAAATTTTAGTTATATTGTTCTCATATGTTCTCAATGTGCGTCCTATTCAACACCAGCATCTTTTCCTTACATCATAATTCACTGGAATTCGTTAAGCTCTTTTCCAAAGTACCATATTAGTAACTCTGTCAAGCCATTTAATACCCTCTATTATGTGCAGGCACCAGTTATCTGTTAATCTGGTAATCTTATTTTCAGCTTCATAGCAAACGGGACACCCCATTGTTGCTCCGCTCCTGTGCCAACGAAAAACACACAGAATGTTAATCAACGTCCCTTGTGGAAAGATTGACAGACTGCTGTCTCAGCATCTGCACTAGCATACACATGCATTAAAAGCATATGGTAGCCATCAGAAGTGCTAACACAAATAGTCTGACATTAGAAATGCAGTTCATTATGGATGGTAGCAGAAGTCACCAACAGATCAGCAGTTGCACATGCGATCAATTTTAATCACATAATGGCACCACCAATAATGCGCCAACAAGCAACATGTCATTTTCTGTATCTACAATTCACACCATCACGTTGGTCACAATAGAAAAACATTCCAAATGAAATCCAGAAGCTGAGCGACAAAACTATCCTTTCAGTCTACAAATGGAGCAAAAAATGCACCGGGCACTGTCTGGCAGAGGCTCACAACAGTGACCGTGCCTAGCGTCCATATTGACCGGAAATTGCATTAACGAATGTTTGCAGTTTATTAGAAATTATTTGAGTAGGTCCTCTATATTTTACTAGTGTCAAAGAATAGCCAACATGAAATGTTTGTACTTTTCCTGTCATGTTCAATCAAAGGATAGTAAAAGAATATGGCAAAGCTGTGGTTTTTTTTTTTTTTAAGGTGGGGGGGGGGGGGGGGGGGGGGGGGGGGGGGGGCTTTTTCTTTCCTTTAAAAAAAATAAAGTTGTTAGAAAGTTATACAATTGTGGGAGTGTTATCATTATTACCCTCACAGGTAAAGTGAAATAACTCTGGGAATGAAAGAGCTAATTTTTTGTATTCCAGATTATGCTTACATGCTTTTATATCATTATTTCATCATGCTGGAAATGAATTCTTTATAATTTTGGATTTTAAATTAACGACTAAAGGTAGCTAACTGTATCATATTCAGCTCAATTACATGAGCTGAAGTGATGTAATAAAACACCTGAAATAAAGAGTTATCTAACTACTCACCTGATTCAGTGGCACATCATGCCCCACCATACACCTCATACAGTAAATAATAGCAGACAATGTGATAGCTCGGGGGGCATTAGTATTTCCATGGACTTGATAGCCTGTCCCAGTGAAGTCAAACACTGCTGTACCCTACAGGAAGATAGGAGTTTATTTCATTATACATTCCCTAGATCAGTGTTTACCATTTCGTGGCATGCGGGGGATTCTAATATTATTGAAAAACAAGAACAGACCCACTGCTTCCCCAACATGTATGATGTTGTAGGAGTCGACTAATTAGGGGGGGGGGGGGGGGGGGCTTCTAAGTCAGACTGCATCTGCCTGACAGGCAAGGAACCCAGCCTGCATACACATAAGCCAGATCTGTAATCCAAACGTTCATGCAACACACAGGTTCTAGAACAAGACTCAAGTACGGAGGCGGGCAGACAACCAGAACTTTTCATCTGCCTCTCTGGCAGATGCACTCCAATTGAGAAGGAAACCCCCTAATTAGTTGACTCCTGCAAACAGCTTGTCAGGGAGGCAGTGGGGATGTTCTTGTTCTTCCCCACAATGGGGCCCCCGAACCCACATGGGGATATCGTTTCATTCTGTTGTGACTGGTTTTCATTAATTTGTTTTTGTTTTTAAAATCCCTTACAACTATTCACGGCATCAATTTAATATAAGCTGCTGATCGCTGCAGCCACGGTCGGTGTTTGAAAGCAGGCGGTTCCCTGGGTTCACCAAGCCTCTAGGAAATGGGTACCAGAGTTGACACTTTGGGGTGAATGGAGGAACGCCGCTGTCGCTACAGAGTTACATGCGGACGGTGACACAGACGGACAGTTTCTTATCAGCTGTCGGTACTGGTGGCAGAGCACTTATGGTTTATAATCGTGTGCGATGACGTTGGTTCACATCTCCTGACTTTGCCTTTTTTTTTTTTTTACCTTTTATCTATGGCAGGAAAAATTACCTTTTTTATCTTTCACTGCATTCATCAAATCTATGTCACCAATGTCTCAAATCTTCACAAATTTCATCTACAGTAGATCTAAAATCCTCACCTCTTTCTCATCTATATTAACATGCAAGCAGATCTTGGTTCCGTGATCCATACAATCTTCAGCATATAATTCTGTGTTCCCTGAGCGAGCTTTGGTTTTCCTAGCGATCTCTCTCAACATATCTTTTACAGCCACCTCTGCATTTTCCTGCACAGACAAACAAACAAATTAACTAACAGGGATCAAATGGTAGCTGAAATCATCACATGTTGAAACAAAAATAATTCATTTTAAATTATAGTCAATCATTTTACACCAAATAACACATCTACATTGACATTTTTATTTTTATTTAGATATTTAGTGTTTTGTCATTGAGAGAAAAAGAATTCTTGCTTGCTACATATATCCAGTTTTAACATATGGCTGTGAATCCTAGACAATCGGTAGGCAGGCCAAACAATTTCTAGAGGCCTCAGAGATGTGGTTTTACAGAAGAATGCTTAGAATACCTTGTACAGCCAAAAAGAACAACCAAGAAGTTTTGAAAGAGGCGGGAGCCCGAAGACAACATATCACAGACATCAGAAGGAGACAGTCATCATTTTTCGGCCATGTTATGAGAAGAGGGAAAATAGAACATGTTGTGACCACTGGAAAGATCTGTGGAAGGAGAGATAGAGGAAGACAACGAGAGAAGATGCTTGACAGTCTTGTTGCATGGCATGGAGGTGTGTCGGCACACGAACTGATACATACTGCAGGAGATCACAGATTATGGAGAGGCACGATCGCCCACGCCAGTAGGCAAGGCACCTGATGATGATGATGATGAGTGTTAACAATTAGACAAGGGGCTGACAAACTGTGCTATGGCTGCAATATCTGAATCATTTGGCCCAACAAATCTGATTTCAGCAAAACCCGCTGGTATCCAGAAGTGGACAACAAACATAAATTTATCCTGGAGTTTACAGCCGGTGAACAGCCAAGAAAAAGAAGAAAGGGGAGTAGTTAGTCTTCCACCAACCCTGCTTAGTTGCCTGTGTGTGCATGCATGCTAGGTTACAGTGTTGACCATTCTCTGCTTCCATCACAGACCCTAACAACACAGGGGAGCAACAGTATCAACATACCTGAATGTACTTCATGTAAGCCTGCACCACATTCAAGCCGTATTCGTTGATCAGTTCTGTGATCAACTTGATGCCCTGTACAACAGCAAAAGACATGATTTTAGTCACACACACACAAAAACTATAGTAAAATCCAGTTTACACAAACTCACTTAAGAAGAATACTCTGTTAACATGAACAGAATTTTGGTCAAAGCAGGGAGATATTATTATTATTAGTCCCCGTTAGCATGGTTGTTTTCCCTATGAACTCTGTTCTTGGAATTTGTGTTGAGAAACCTGAGTTTGAGGTTGTAATAGTGAGCAACTTTTAAGAGAAAGGTTTACAAAATAACTATATTTAAAGAAGTTTTGTCTATCTCAACACAGCAGATAACACTGCAAATTGGTCAATCCTTGAAGTATATGGAGGTTATGGTTTTGATTTTAGCTTGGGTTTGGGTTTAGGGAGGGGGGGAAGGATGGAGAAGGTGGTGGAAGAGAAAAAGTGTGATAGAGAAAAAGTGTGATAGAGAGAGTGAGGAAGATGGACAGAGAGGAAGAAAGAGGAAGGGATGGAAAGATACACAGATAGAGGGTCAATAGGAGAAAGAGAGTCGGACAGAAAGAGTGAGGGAGGAAAAGAGGGCGGAAGGAAAGATGAACAGGTGTGAGAGAGAGTGACTTAGATAGAGGAAGAGAAGAGGAAAAAGGGAGATGGAGTGATGAATAATGGAAGGAAAGGAGAGAGAGAATAAGTAAGAAAGTGGGTGGAAGAAAAAAGAGGAAGGAGGAGGGAAAGAATGCAAAATGAGAGAGGGAAAGGGAGAGAAAAAGAAAGGAAAGAAGGATTCAGAGTAAAGGGGGGGAAAAGGGGGGGGGGGCAGGGATATAACAAGAAATAATATGCTCAATCTAGTTACACATTGTGTTACTGAGTTGCCAGCATAAAACACACCATAGCCAGTCTTGTCAAGGCAGAATCCCGCAATCTAAATATTCAGAAAATGGCTGGTGGCCAGCCTTAGGCATTAAAACTGCACATGAATATTACATGTGTTTGGCCAACCTATTGTGACTGACAACTTCCATCAATGACAAACTGTTATTCTGGTGGTGGACTTCTACTGTTGGCATCCCTAGCACCACTGACTGCATGTGCCTGTGTCTACATTTTTGTCCAGACTAATTGTTTGTTTAATAATTTTCAAAAGAGACAGGGCCATTTTTTTTTCTTTCCCCACTGGTATGGGAACAGAGAAATGATGGGGTGACTCATTTGCAGTGAAGGTGAAACCCCAACTAGGTCTGCCTACATCTGAAATAAAACCAGATGTTGTGAATGTTGCAATAGAAACCAACCTTATGGTTAGCCGCCACCTGAGCCTTCAGGTCACTGAGGTTATCATGCAAGTTCCTTGTGCCACTGCTTCCTGGGTACTTGGCTGGGTCATTGAAAGCTTGAATCAGCTCTAAGCACATCAAGAGTACAAGAAACAAAATAATGTTATCTACAATATCATGGCACAAATCTATACACTCAAAAACAGATGTAAAATATGGATTACTACAGGTATTTAAAACATATTCTTGTACCCCCTTTATTTGGAACATATGTGTCATCTTCTCTTTTTTTATTTCTCATCCTTCCCTTCCCTATCTTCATTTCTTTCATCCCCTTTTCTTATTCTCTCTCTCCCTTCATTCCCCACTCCCCACCTCCATTACTTTTCTTCCGCCTTCTAGCTTACGCACTATCCTCTGCTTATCCTACCTTCATCTCCATCTCTGCCTCCCTCATTATCTCTTTTTAACCCTCCATCTATATATTTTGCCACCCCTATTTCCTTCCTCCCTTTATAACCTCTCTCTCACACTCTTTCTAAGATTATTTTCCTGTAACTTTTACATTTCTTCTTCTTTTTAGCGTTCACCAGTTGTAAACTCTGGCAGAAAGTTCTGACTCTTGATCCGAATCTGGACTTTGTTTTATTCCAGAACCTGAGTTTTGTGTGCAAATCCATTTTACAAATCTGGCTTACTTGTGTGCAGACTACTGGTACCCTGCCTCTCAGGCAGATGCATGCTGACTTCAAGGGAATAACCCCAAATTAGTTACCTATTATGATATGCTTGTGATGGGACATTGTGTCTTCTTTCTCCTTCGAAACAGTGCCCTGAAACTAACACAGGAAACCTTAACACAAAAGACACAAAGATTGTAAGAGAATCGGCACCTCTTATAACCCAAGCACAAACCTTTTTCTCGGAACTCTCCTCCTTCTACCAGCTTGAAAGACTTGAAAACAGCTCCCTCCTGAAATATGGATGTGGAGTGAGGGGGCATTGAGCCTGGAGTGATGCCCCCGATGTCTGCATGGTGCCCTCTGCTAGCTACAAAGAAGACAGGTCTTGGCTCTCCTTTAAAAAACACCTAAAGATGCAATTAGAAAAAAAAGGACATAAATTCGGGCAAACTTCAAACAGACTTGAACTAAAGCAGTGGTTTTTCCACCTGAGGGCATGATCTCTGGAGGAAAGGGGGGAAAGGGGTGCAAGGAGGTTTCAAATGGGGTGTCAACAATTTTGAAAATGAGTGTATTTGTTCTTTTAATAATCTGTTATATTAACATTCGGTTTTCTGTTTAATTATAAATTAAATTTTTTTTTAACTATTTACAAAATAAAATACTAAGGATACTGTTGTATTCCTTAACAGCCTACATATCTACCTCCTCTTTTTTGTTTCCAAACTTTTTTAAAAGTGGCGAAAGGAGGGGGGAGGGTGCGGAGTTGTGGGTGGATTCGTGAAGATCTAGCCATATTTTCAAAAAGAGTGGTTGGGGGAAGGCGCGCCACCTAAAAAAAGGTTGAAAATTACTGAAATAAAGAAAATGAAAAAAAAAAAAAAAACAGCTTGTTAAATAAGATATTTGAGAAAGACTTCAAACAAAACCAGAAGTGACTATGTGAGAAAAGAAGAGATTAGAAAACTATTGCAAAAATACCCATTGTTAAATTCACTGAAAAAAAAAAAGCTGTAATGCTTTAGCCCTCATAATGAGAATGATTTGAACGGTGCCAGAAGGTACAAAATAAAAATACAAACACCAAAATGCTGAGGGAGACCTAGAAGAACATGGACTGATGTAGCAACTAACAGCCTGAGACTTCACAGCATACAAAGCAACCAAACACTATATTGTTATTTAGCTTCCATTTACACAAGCACTATGTTTCCATATTCCTAAAATCTTCACACTCCGATTTTCCTAAGAACTATATTTCCAAAATCCCACAATGGTAAAAAAAACTTGTTAGCTCACATACATCTTAAAAATGCAAAAAAAAAAAATATGATACACTTTCACAAATTATGATCAGCAACAGTACATGCTCACCAACAAGATATACAAAAACAAAGGGGACATCACTCACTGGTGTAATGACAGTGAGGTCAGGCAAGTGGCTTCCCCCTGCCTCTGGGTGATTGCTTAGAATGACATCTCCATCTTTAAAATTATCACCTAAAGTTCTCATCTGCAGAAAGATAAATTAATGCACACTTTCATCTGCAGAAAGATAAATTAATGCAAGCTCTCATCGTAAAATAAAAAAAGAAATCAATGCAGGTTCTCACCTTATGTCTTTGAAGTGAAAATCTATTAAGATGACCCTGGCCAAATACAACACTCCTCTGTCAGGATCATACTCTCCCAAAATGGCTCCTCGCAATTTCTGGCTGTTCCCCAAGCTGAAAATGCAGCTGAACTGGAACTGATTTCAGTCAGATTTCCTAGGGTCATCCTGGTGTCTTCAACACAGAGGTTACGGCTATCAGGTCTAGCCATTCCAATTACAAGAATCTACAAGTCTCTTGAGAAGTCTTAACTCTCTTATAGGCTCTCTCTCTCTCTCTCTCTCTCTCTCTCTCTGTGTGTGTGTGTGAAGGATGGGTGTTTGGAGGGGCCGAATGTAAAACAGGCCTGCGTGCCCAATTTGTTACCCTTTGAAAATTAAATTTGTTCGTTCATTCTCTCCAAGGGCCTCAATGTCCTCACTTCTATCTAAACAAACTGAGTTAAGGTCCATGTCTGCCAATTCTTTTCCTGGCTAGTAACAAGTTACAGTATCACACATAACTTAAGAGTTTCTACTGTCTAGATGTGTCAGGGATATTGCTGGAAGAGACCTCAACTTACACAGATAAGTGTTTCTGTGTATTCTTGTTTGTAATTATATCACTGCCTATTCATGCCGGAGCAGCGGTTGGTCGAACAGTTAGAAAGCTCAGCTCTCAAGTGGGAGACATGGGTTTGAATTCTCAATAAGGTTGGGAATTTATTTCTGCCAGGAAAAAGGGTTTGGGGGGAGGCGGAACCTCCTCCTCCTCTCCCCCCCCCCCCCCCCCCCCACAATCATGAGCTGTACAGTCCATTGTGACAGCCCTAGCAATGCTGCCCTAAGTCCTCAGGCTCAAAGACTCACCCCTCACCCCCCCCCCCTACCTTCCACACTGCAAAAGTGGTAAATACAGTAAGTATTTACACTGCAGCGTGTCCATTTGTGTCATATGCTGTTGAAGGTTTTTCCAGCTGCAATTAATTTGTCATTCTTCATAGCTGTGATAATGTGGAACTGACTAGTTCTCACTCTCACCTAGTCTGATACCTTTTGCTTCCTAGTGTGGGTTCTGGCACTCCATTGTAGATGAAACAAGAACAGACCCACTGCCTCCCCAACAAGCATGTCGTTAGAGTCAACTAATTGGGGGTTTCCTGAGTGAGTGAGTGACTTTCTACCCCACTAGGACATCACACAAGCGATAAACACCCGATGACACAAAGTGCCACCATGTGGATGAGGATCACCGTGGAGAGGTCCCAGAAACCGCGTTCAGACATTTGGCCATTTTTATGGCCTGCCTATATTGCGGCCCCTGGCAAAAGCCAGAGTGGGGCTTCAAATAACAAAAAATTACGTCCTGAAAAGGACGTAAGGACTTGAAGCTGTTTAGGGGGTTTCCTTTGAAGTCGAAGTGCATCTGCTTGAGAGGGAAGGAACCAAAAGTCTGCACACAAATAAGTCAAATATATAAAATGGATGTGCATGCAACTCGGGTTCTGGGACAAGTCTAAAGTCCAGACCTGGATGAACAACCAGAACTTTCCGCCGGAATTTACAGCCGGTTTGTGCCAAGAAGAATTCTTTAGATGATTTCAGTGAAGGGAAAACTTTATGCCAGTTGTTGCAAGGACAGAAGTGGATGTCCATTTCTTGCCAGGAGAAAGTACCTAATGTTACAGTAACTGCCCAAACTAGAAGTAAACCATGTCTCACCTGATACTGGACAGTCTCCTGCATGGCACCAAGATGGACTGGGATGTGCGGAGCATTAGCCACAAGACCACCATTAGGTCCAAACATGGCACAGCTAAAATCTAGACGCTCCTGAAAAATCAACAAGGATCATTCTGCTTTAGCACAAAATGTATCCTACGGTTCTTGGTAATGGAAACGTTCTTCTTCTTCTTCAGCATTCCCAGCCCTTGAGGATCATTGCTGTAGATCTCACCCACCTCCACTCACCTCTGATTGGTTTTCTCTTTCCAAATGGTGACTCCAAGTGTTCATAGGTCTGTATGTTATTTATCCAGCGTCTTCTTGGTCTGTCTCATGATCTATTCCCATTCAACTCATCTGTGAATGCAGTTTTTGTCTGTTTTCTGATATAGAACAGGGCACAATCGACTTCGCTCCCACATGTACAACAAATTTAAGATTGGCCAATCAGCCATGTGTACTTGTGGACTGGCACCTGAAACAACAGATCACATCCTTCAAGACTGTCCCAGATTCAACGCTTTCAGGCAAAACCTTTGGCCAAAAGAGACACTTGTGGAAGTCAAACTTTACGGGCCGCTTAGTGAATTACAAAAGACAGTGAAATTCATACTAGAGACAGCTTTGCAGATATAGACAATTTATTTCATGCGAACGAAAGAAGAGAAGAATGATATATTCTCTAAATGGCCCAACCCTTGCAGTATATATCTCAGCCCTAATGATGTCAGTAATTAGTGGTGATTTAAACAGGTTAAGAATTTTGTTGTTGCTTCTCAGTCTCTATTCCCAAACAGCGTTGATCTTTAATGAAAAGCATGGATTAGTTCAAGTTAAGGTGTCTATAGAGTGTAGAATATTGTATGCCAATGATTCCCAAACTGTGCGCTGCGGCACCCCGGGTAGCCACGACCACTTCACACAAAATATTAGAAGACACACAATTTTTTTTTTTAAATCTCTTACATATGAATAGTTATATTTTTTTTTACTATGGTTAGGGCGCCGTGGAATATTATAATTGAAAAAAAAAGTGCCATGACTAACAAAAGTTAAGGAAGCACAGTTATATGCAATACATCTTTATCAATGAAAAAGAGAAAGTAAGTTTTTATAATCAATTATGGTGTACAGAAGTCAATAGTAAATAATGAGCTGCCAAGCTGGGGTTCATCTGCCCGAGAAATGAGGAACCACAAGTCGGCATAAAGTAAGCCAGACTTGTAAAACAGATGTGCATGCAAAACTCCTGTTCTGGAACATGACCAAAGTTCAGAAGTCAACAAACAACCACAGCTTTCTGCCAGAGTTTATAGTAGGTGAACGAGAACAAGGCAAGGATAAATAATGAGCAGATTAGCAAGAAAAAATTTAGAAGTTTGAAATGATGTGGTTATTCAGAAAAATGTGGAGAATAACTGGAACTTACAACAGGAGTAATGAACAAGTCCTAAGTAAAACTAACTTAGCTTTTATTATGATAAGCAGACAATAGACATTCTTTGTGTGAATCCTGAGAATTGATAATCTGGAATATTTGACTGCAAGAGGTAAGTGAAGAGAGACACTCAAATGTTTGTTTGTGACTGATCTGTTTCCTCAAAGTGAAGAGAGACACTCAAATGTTTGTTTGTGACTGATCTGTTTCCTCAAAGTGAAGAGAGACACTCAAATGTTTGTTTGTGACTGATCTGTTTCCTCAAAGTGAAGAGAGACACTCAAATGTTTGTTTGTGACTGATCTGTTACCTCAAAGTGAAGAGAGACATTCAAATGTTTGTTTGTGACTGATCTGTTACCTCAAAGTGAAGAGAGACACTCAAATGTTTGTTTGTGACTGATCTGTTTCCTCAAAGTGAAGAGAGACACTCAAATGTTTGTTTGTGACTGATCTGTTTCCTCAAAGTGAAGAGAGACACTCAAATGTTTGTTTGTGACTGATCTGTTTCCTCAAAGTGAAGAGAGAAAACTCAAATGTTTGTTTGTGACTGATCTGTTACCTCAAAGTGAAGAGAGACATTCAAATGTTTGTTTGTGACTGATCTGTTACCTCAAAGTGAAGAGAGAGACACTCAAATGTTTGTTTGTGACTGATCTGTTTCCTCAAAGTGAAGAGAGACACTCAAATGTTTGTTTGTGACTGATCTGTTTCCTCAAAGTGAAGAGAGACACTCAAATGTTTGTTTGTGACTGATCTGTTTCCTCAAAGTGAAGAGAGACACTCAAATGTTTGTTTGTTACTGATCTGTTTCCTCAAAGTGAAGAGAGACACTCAAATGTTTGTTTGTGACTGATCTGTTTCCTCAAAGTGAAGAGAGACACTCAAATGTTTGTTTGTGACTGATCTGTTTCCTCAAAGTGAAGAGAGACACTCAAATGTTTGTTTGTGACTGATCTGTTACCTCAAAGTGAAGAGAGACATTCAAATGTTTGTTTGTGACTGATCTGTTACCTCAAAGTGAAGAGAGACACTCAAATGTTTGTTTGTGACTGATCTGTTTCCTCAAAGTGAAGAGAGACACTCAAATGTTTGTTTGTGACTGATCTGTTTCCTCAAAGTGAAGAGAGACACTCAAATGTTTGTTTGTGACTGATCTGTTTCCTCAAAGTGAAGAGAGACACTCAAATGTTTGTTTGTGACTGATCTGTTTCCTCAAAGTGAAGAGAGACACTCAAATGTTTGTTTGTGACTGATCTGTTTCCTCAAAGTGAATAGAGACACTCAAATGTTTGTTTGTGACTGATCTGTTTCCTCAAAGTGAAGAGAGACACTCAAATGTTTGTTTGTAACTGATCTGTTTCCTCAAAGTGAAGAGAGACACTCAAATGTTTATTTGTGACTGATCTGTTTCCTCAAAGTGAAGAGAGACACTCAAATGTTTATTTGTGACTGATCTGTTTCCTCAAGCAAGAGGAGATCAACTGTAGAGAGTATCACATTTATCTTTTTCAACCTCGGTGTTCTCACCCCAGCAGAACCAGGGGCCATCTCTTCATTTCTATGTACACTGGCATGGCTTGAGCACCAAAACCACTTCCATTCTTACACGTGTCATGGCTGTTGTTGTTATCCATTCTTGCCAAAAGTCTCGCTTTTCTCTCTCTTTTCTGGCACCTTCCCATTTTTCCTGAGGATAGTGTTCTATTGTGCTATACAGAGACATGGTCATCAAAGCCCATGGTAATACAACTTAGTGCCAGGGATAAAGTTCCTCTCTAAGTCTGGGCAGTGCTGCAGTTTGCATTTTCTTCTTCTTCTTCGCGTTCACCAGCTGTAAACTCTGGTGGAAGATTCTGGTTGCTCGTCCACTACTGAACTGCTGTCCTGCTCCAGAACCTGAGTGTTGCATGTGCATCAGTTTTACAGATCTCATTCTCTTGAATACAGACTGTTGGTTCCTTGCCTCTCCGGCAGATGAATTCCGACTTCAAAGGAAGCTCCTAAATTAGTCGACTCTTACGACATGCTTTTGGGGAGGTAGGGGGTCAATTCTTGTTTTTCCCACAATGGGGCCCCAGAACCCACACAGGGGAGTTTGCATTTTGTGTTGTGGTTTACAGCTAGGCTGCAACATTTACATTTTTTAATAAAGTTGCTTCTCTCTAAGTCTGGGCAGTACTGCAAAGATCAAGCATTGCTGATATGGTATGATCTCACTCTCTGTCTGCTTTGTTAACTCCAAAGGAAAGATAACACCAATGAAAATGAAACAAATCATCATGGCAAAGCTTTGGTTCAAACAAGCAGTGCTCTAACTATGCACCATGGCAGAAGTATTCCAAGTGAATTTCAAATTTTTATCCTAAAAGATGTGAACATCAAGAAAGATTGACTATTAAGCAGAATCTTGTCTCAGAAACTAAAATACTTTGGCCATAGCAAGCACCATGGCCGACTGGACAAAATAACAGCATAAGGCACAGTACCAGGACAGAAAGGCAGGGACTGACCAACACAAAGATGGACACAGGCTATAAATGACACCTTGGGTAGGAATTGCATGAAACAGAGAGGCTGGCCAAAGACTAAGTTTCTCATAGGCAGACAGTGATGACAGCAACGTCTGTAAAGGACTTGCTACATGATGATGATGATGACACTGACTGAATAAAACAAACCGAAAGACATCTGTATTATTATAACATTTTCAAAGTGACTGCAAAGAAAACTGCAAGGACACTGATTCTTTTATTAGTGACAGAAACTGTAATTTTCAAACCATGCGGTGCAGATAAGACTCAATGCCAATACCTTTATGTTTGTTGATATTGATGTCCTTTGTAAAACCCTGTTGATGAAAGTTATAATTTTTAGTAGCCAGTAAATGTTTTCATTCTAATTAAGCAGAAAAAAGCAAAATCTTACACACAAAAAACTAAAGCATTGTGGAAATAAAGATAGGATCTGTTAACTTTATCCACCCGGTGTGGGATGCAGGGCCCCATTGTGGGGGCAAATAAGAACAGACCCACTGCCCCCCTAACAAGCATGTTGTAAAAGTCGACTAATTAGGAATGTTTGCTTCGAAGTCACACTGCACTTGCCTGAGAGGCGAGGAACCAATAGTCTGCATACAAATAAGCCAGAACTGTAAAACATATGTGTTATGCAAAACGCAAGTTCAGGAACAAGACTAAAATCCAGACATGGATGAACAACTTGGACTTTCCTCTGGAGTTCACAGCAAGAATGCAGAGAAGTACAAGAAGTTAACTATATTCAACATTTCTTCTTGTCCTTGATGCCTCATTGAAACATAGGCTGTCAACTATTTGTGTTAACATGTCAACTATTCAAGTTCGTGTTAAAGAGGTTTTCCTGTACTTGCTTTGGAAGCAAGTTACCAGTTCTTTCTGTGAGTTAATTACTTTGAAGGCATCTTCATTATACATGTTACCGGTCCATGGTGTATTCATCATCATCATATGCCCTGGCAGGTGATGTAGGTGCTCATGTCACTCCCCAGATTTTGGTCCTCAGAATTCTGAACCAATTCCACTGATGATATTCCTCCATGCCACTGCCTGAGGTCAGCAAACATTGTCTCTCTTGATCTGCCTCTGGCTTCTTTACCTTTGCTGGTTCCAGTTATCACGATGTTCTCCAATGCCTCTATAATCATCAAATGATTGAAGAACACTGACCATCTCTTTCTTATAGATGTAGAAAAGTTTAACTCGAGATCATCGACTTCACTTCCCCATGTTTTATCTCAAGTGACTTGGCCTCTCTCTGCAGAATGACTAACCAACTGCGGACTGCATCGCACAAACAGCCTAGCTTCAGCTATGATCCTCAGGGGTCTTGATAAAGATGCACTGATGAACCCAACGATGCAGTCATGAAATAAAACCACTTCGCCACAGAAATGTTTATAGTGTAGAGTAAAGTAAAAGAACCTTTTCTATGCCTTTAGGCGTATATAGGTCTCGACCTATATTTTACAGACCTGTCGGCACTTGGTGGGTGATGTGGTCAGCATCACACTGGATGCCTTTACTTCCCTGGACTGCACCTGGTACCCACTGCACCTGGTTGACATGGGAGCCAATGTCAGTTTTAAAAAAAGCCCTGCTCCGTCAGGACCCGAACCCACCACTTTCCGATCTACAAATGAGCTCTAGGTGCTACCCCGAGGTGACTCCCCATATGTTTGTTTTATATTCCTATAAAACTATCTCTCTGCATCATCAACATTATGTTGTGCTATTATGTCAAATGGGGTTCACAACATATCCCTCCATTCCATTCTTCTTCTTCTTCTTTTCTCTACTACTCGAATGCCTCACAGCAGGAAGAGATCCCTGGAACTGGCCCTTCTGTTTGCTTAATATAAAGTACTTTTCAGTGTCTCTAAGATTTCTGCAGTCCATCTTCTGCGTGGTCGACCTCTGGCTCAGTTCCCATTGTATCTGTATAGCATTGCTCTCTGTGGTGCCCTGTCTGATTTCCTCCTATCCTAAGTAATCTTGTAGATACCATGAATGGAATCCAGTCCAGCGCCTGTGGACTCTCTCACCAACATTCGTTTCAAAGCTTCTCTTGGATTTCCATGTTTTCTCTATATATTTGTTTCCAATTTCAGAAGGGATACTTTTATAGCTTCTCACTAATCTGCTATCTATAAATGATTTACTTCCATACATCTGGATGGGCTGTATGAAACCTTGTTTTAAATTCTTCTTTTTTCTTCATTGCATGTCCGAGTGATGTAATTGTGTTGTTTACAACATAGCTGCGATATCTTTTGGCTGAGGCATCTGTCTTTATCAGGCATTTGTTCATTGGGTTAGTCTTGCCTGTGGTTTTAAATTACAGAAAAATACATTAATAGCTACAAGAGAAAATGCTGTAGAAAAAATCTGGCCAGTCATAAATACCTGCCCATTTGTTCAGCAGTGCTCATAAACCTGTGCGAGAAAATGGACAGCTGAATGGCATCAAGGTCTGTTCCAATCACCTTCTTGTTGGCACTACCAACTTTGATGCGAACGTCTCCATATCGACTGATCTCCGCTACACAGTTCGGTTCCACGAGGATTGTGCTGCAAGTTGATATTTAAAAAAAAAACATTATATCTAACAGGTAACAGGAGAAACATATTTCGCACTGCTTTGCTCATAAACTTTTGTTTTTGTTTTTAACAGTAAATAAATCTCATCATTATCATCATTTTCATGGTTCTATGTGTCGCCAATCCAGCTAATCACCAGTATAACTGATCAGGTCAATGTTCTTGGCCCCCCCCCCCCCCATATGGCTAAGCCACCTATATATTTATTTCTTTGCCCTCCGCTTGCTCTCTTTTTATCAATCTTGCCAGTTGCCACAAAGTTTTCAAGTTCACTCTCATAACGTGTCTGAAAAACACTGTCTACGTTTAATTTCTCTAATTAGTTACAGTTTTCATCTGTATCAAGGATGTCTAATTTCTCTAATGAGTTTACAGTTTTCATCTGTCTTAAGATGTTTAATTTCTCTAATGAGTTTACAGTTTTCATCTGTCTTAAGATGTTTAATTTCTCTAATGAGTTTACAGTTTTCATATGTCTTAAGATGTTTAATTTCTCTAATGAGTTTACAGTTTTCATCTGTCTCAAGGATGTCTAGCTTCTCTAATAAGTGTACAGTTTTCATCTGTCTCAAGGATGTCTAGTTTCTCTAATGAGTTAACAGTTTTCATATGTCTTAAGATGTTTAATTTCTCTAATAAGTTTACAGTTTTCACCTGTCTCAAGGAGCACTGCCCTGTCAGTTTATCATTCTAATATATTGTTTACACTCTCCTCAGCCCCCCCCCCCCCCATGTTTACTTCCCAGAACTATATCTGCTACCTGCCCATTTAAGGCTAGGTCGACCTGGGAGCCAAGGTCATTAAAACAAAAAAATTTTTTTTCATAAGTCCAGCTCTGTCAGGACCTGAATGCATTATCTTTGGATCTGCAAGCGGGCATCTAGCTGCTACAACATGGGGGCTGCTACAACATGGGGGCTGCTACACCATGGGGGCTGCTACAACATGGTGGCTGCTACAACATGGGGGCTGGCAGCTGATACAACATGGGGGCTGGCAGCTGCTACAACATGGGGGCTGCTACAACATGGCGGCTGCTACAACATGGGGGCTGGCAGCTGCTACAACATGGGGGCTGCTACAACATGGGGGCTGGCAGCTGCTACAACATGGGGGCTGGCAGCTGCTACAACATGGCGGCTGCTACAACATGGCGGCTGCTACAACATGGGGGCTGGCAGCTGCTACATCATGGGGGCTGCTACAACATGGGGGCTGTTACAACATGGCGGCTGCTACAACATGGGGGGCTGCTACAACATGGGGGCTGCTACAACATGGGGGCTGCTACAACATAGGGGCTGCTACAACATGGGGGCTGCTACAACATGGGGGCTGCTACAACATGGGGGCTGCTACAACATGGGGGCTGCTACAACATGGGGGCTGCTACAACATGGGGGCTGCTACAACATGGCGGCTGCTACTACATGGCGGCTGCTACAACATGGGGGCTGCTACAACATGGGATCTGGCAGCTGCTACAACATGGCGGCTGCTACAACATGGGGGCTGGCAGCTGCTACAACATGGGGGCTGCTACAACATGGGGGCTGGCAGCTGCTACAACATGGGGGCTGCTACAACAAGGGGGCTGGCAGTTGCTACAACATGGGTGCTGGCAGCTGCTACAACATGGCAGCTGCTACAACATGGGGGCTGCTACAACATGGGGGCTGGCAGCTGCTACAACATGGGGGCTGGCAGCTGCTACAACATGGGGGCTGGCAGCTGCTACAACATGGGATCTGGCAGCTGCTACAACATGGGGGCTGCTACATCATGGCGGCTGCTACAACATGGGGGCTGCTAAAACATGGGAGCTGCTACAACATGGGGGCTGCTACAACATGGGGGCTGCTACAACATGGGGGCTGCTACAACATGGGGGCTGCTACAACATGGGGGCTGCTACAACATGGGGCTGCTACAACATGGGGGCTGCTACAACATGGCGGCTGCTACAACATGGGGGCTGCTACAACTTGGGGGCTGCTACAACATGGCGGCTGCTACAACATGGCGGCTGCTACAACATGGGGGCTGCTACAACATGGGGGCTGCTACAACATGGGATCTGGCAGCTGCTACAACATGGCGGCTGCTACAACATGGGGGCTGGCAGCTGCTACAACATGGCGGCTGCTACAACATGGGGGCTGGCAGTTGCTACAACATGGGGGTGGCAGCTGCTACAACATGGCAGCTGCTACAACATGGGGGCTGCTACAACATGGCGGCTGCTACAACATGGCGGCTGCTACAACATGGGGGCTGCTACAACATGGGGGCTGCTACAACATGGCGGCTGCTACAACATGGCGGCTGCTACAACATGGCGGATGCTACAACATGGCGGCTGCTACAACATGGGGGCTGGCAGCTGCTACAACATGGCGGCTGCTACAACATGGGGGCTGGCAGTTGCTACAACATGGGGGCTGGCAGCTGCTACAACATGGCAGCTGCTACAACATGGGGGCTGCTACAACATGGCGGCTGCTACAACATGGGGGCTGGCAGCTGCTACAACATGGCGGCTGCTACAACATGGGGGATGGCAGCTGCTACAACATGGTGGCTGCTACAACATGGCGGCTGGCAGCTGCTACAACATGGGGGCTGGCAGCTGCTACAACATGGCGGCTGCTACAACATGGGGGCTGACAGCTGCTACAACATGGCGGCTGCTACAACATGGGGGCTGGCAGCTGCTACAACATGGCGGCTGCTACAACATGGCGGCTGCTACAACATGGGGGCTGGCAGCTGCTACAACATGGGGGCTCCTACAACATGGCGGCTGCTACAACATGGGGGCTGGTGGCTGCTACAACATGGGGGCTGGCAGCTGCTACAACATGGGGGCTGGCAGCTGCTACAACATGGGGGCTGGCAGCTGCTACAACATGGGGGTTGGCGGCTGCTACAACATGGGGGCTGGCAGCTGCTACAACATGGGGGCTGGCAGCTGCTACAACATGGGGGCTGGCAGCTGCTACAACATGGGGGCTGACAGCTGCTACAACATGGGGACTGGCAGCTGCTACAACATGGGGGCTGACGGCTGCTACAACATGGGGGCTGGCAGCTGCTACAACATGGGGGCTGGCAGCTGCTACAACATGGGGGCTGGCAGCTGCTACAACATGGGGGCTGGCAGCTGCTACAACATGGGGGCTGGCAGCTGCTACAACATGGGGGCTGGCAGCTGCTACAACATGGGGGCTGGCAGCTGCTACAACATGGCGGCTGCTACAACATGGGGGCTGCTACAACATGGGGGCGTCTACAACATGGGAGCTGCTACAACATGGGAGCTGCTACAACATGGGAGCTGCTACAACATGGGAGCTGCTACAACATGGGAGCTGCTACAACATGGGGGCTGCTACAACATGGGGGCTGCTACAACATGGGGGCTGGCAGCTGCTACAACATGGGGGCTGGCAGCTGCTACAACATGGGGGCTGGCAGCTGCTACAACATGGGGGCTGGCAGCTGCTACAACATGGGGGCTGGCAGCTGCTACAACATGGGGGCTGGCAGCTGCTACAACATGGGGGCTGGCAGCTGCTACAACATGGGGGCTGGCAGCTGCTACAACATGGCGGCTGCTACAACATGGGGGCTGCTACAACATGGCGGCTGCTACAACTTGGGGGCTGCTACAACATGGCGGCTGGCGGCTGCTACAACATGGCGGCTGCTACAACATGGGGGCTGCTACAACATGGGGGCTGCTACAACATGGCAGCTGCTACAACATGGGGGCTGCTACAACATGGGGGCTGCTACAACATGGGGGCTGCTACAACATGGGGGCTGCTACAACATGGCGGCTGCTACAACATGGGGGCTGCTACAACATGGCGGCTGCTACAACATGGGGGCTGCTACAACATGGGGGCTGCTACAACATGGGGGCTGCTACAACATGGGGGCTGCTACAACATGGCGGCTGCTACAACATGGCGGCTGCTACAACATGGCGGCTGCTACAACATGGCGGCTGCTACAACATGGCGGCTGCTACAACATGGGGGCTGCTACAACATGGGGGCTGCTACAACATGGGGGGCTACAACATGGTGCTGCTACAACATGGGGCTGCTACAACATGGGGCTGCTACAACATGGGGGCTGCTACAACATGGGGGCTGCTACAACATGGGGGCTGCTACAACATGGTGGTTGCTACAACATGGCGGCTGCTACAACATGGCGGCTGCTACAACATGGAGGCTGCTACAATATGGTGGCTGCTACAACATGGTGGCTGCTACAACATGGGGGGCTGCTACAACATGCTACAACATGGGGGGCTGCTACAACATGGGGGGCTGCTACAACATGGGGGCTGCTACAACATGGGGGCTGCTACAACATGGGGGCTGCTACAACATGGGGGCTGCTACAACATGGGGGCTGCTACAACATGGGGGCTGCTACAACATGGGGCTGCTACAACATGGGTGGCTGCTACAACATGGGGGCTGCTACAACATGGCGGCTGCTACAACATGGGGGCTGCTACAACATGGGGGCTGCTACAACATGGGGGCTGCTACAACATGGGGGCTGGGCTGCTACAACATGGGGGCTGCTACAACATGGGGGCTGCTGCTACAACATGGGGGGGCTGCTACAACATGGCAGCTGCTACAACATGGGGGCTGCTACAACATGGGGGCTGCTACAACATGGGGGCTGCTACAACATGGGGGCTGCTACAACATGGGGGGGGAGCTGCTACAACATGGGCAGCTGCTACAACATGGGGGCTGGCAGCTGCTACAACATGGGGGCTGGCAGCTGCTACAACATGGGGGCTGGCAGCTGCTACAACATGGGGGCTGGCAGCTGCTACAACATGGGGGCTGGCAGCTGCTACAACATGGGGGCTGGCAGCTGCTGCAACATGGGGGCTGGCGGCTGCTACAACATGGGGGCTGCTATGGGGGCTGCTACAACATGGGGGCTGCTACAACATGGGGCTGCTGCTGCTACAACATGGGGGCTGGCAGCTGCTACAACATGGGGGCTGGCAGCTGCTACAACATGGGGGGCTGGCAGCTGCTACAACATGGGGGCTGGCAGCTGCTACAACATGGGGGCTGCTGGCAGCTGCTACAACATGGGGGCTGCTACAAAACATGGGGGCTGCTACAACATGGGGGCTACAACATGGGGGCTGCTACAACATGGGGGCTGGGGGCTGCTACAACATGGGGGGCGGCTGCTACAACATGGGGGCTGCTACACAACATGGGGGGGCTGGGCTGCTACAACATGCTACAACTGGGGGGGCATGGGGGCTGCTACAACATGGGGGCTGGCAGCTGCTACAACATGGGGGCTGGCAGCTGCTACAACATGGGGGCTGGCAGCTGCTACAACATGGGGGCTGGCAGCTGCTACAACATGGGGGCTGCATGGGGGCTGCTGCTACAACATGGGGGCTGGCAGCTGCTACAACATGGCGGCTGCTACAACATGGGGGCTGCTACAACATGGGAGCTGCTACAAACATGGGAGCTGCTACAACATGGCGGCTGCTACAACTTGGGGGCTGCTACAACATGGCGGCTGGCGGCTGCTACAACATGGCGGCTGCTACAACATGGGGGCTGCTACAACTTGGGGGCTGCTACAACATGGCGGCTGGCGGCTGCTACAACATGGCGGCTGCTACAACATGGGGGCTGCTACAACATGGGGGCTGCTACAACATGGGGGCTGCTACAACATGGGGGCTGCTACAACATGGGGGCTGCTACAACATGGCGGCTGCTACAACATGGGGGCTGCTACAACATGGCTGCTGCTACAACATGGGAGCTGCTACAACATGGGAGCTGCTACAACATGGCGGCTGCTACAACATGGGGGCTGCTACAACATGGCGGCTGCTACAACATGGCCGCTGCTACAACATGGCGGCTGCTACAACATGGGGCTGCTACAACATGGGGGCTGCTACAACATGGGGGCTGCTACAACATGGTGGCTGCTACAACATGGCGGCTGCTACAACATGGCGGCTGCTACAACATGGGGGTTGCTACAACATGGAGCTGCTACAACATGGGGGCTGCTACAACATGGGGGCTGCTACAACATGGGGGCTGCTACAACATGGGGGCTGCTACAACATGGTGGTTGCTACAACATGGTGGCTGCTACAACATGGCGGCTGCTACAACATGGCGGCTGCTACAACATGGCGGCTGCTACAATATGGGGGTTGCTTCAACATGGGGGTTGCTACAACATGGGGGCTGCTACAACATGGGGGCTGCTACAACATGGGGGCTGCTACAACATGGGGGCTGCTACAACATGGGGGCTGCTACAACATGGGGGCTGCTACAACATGGCTGCTGCTACAACATGGGGGCTTATACAACATGGGGGCTGGCGGCTGCTACAACATGGGGGTTGCTACAACATGGGAGCTGGCGGCTGCTACAACATTGCAGCTCCTACCACAGTAATTGAACCCTGGTAAACATCAGAACTTATTTTAATAACTCTGACATAAGAGAGGCAAATGACAGGTTTTTAAAAGAAATCATTGAAAAACCATAATATCTTTACCTGTTGTTGTCAATAATAATAGAAGGTCCATTCATGGTATGACCTGCACATAAATTACCTAGCAGATACACATCTGTATCCAGGGCACCTTCTTCAAAATGAGTTTTAATGGTCTGTGAGAGAAAGAATTATTCATTTACTCTTGCTATCATAACTTTTTCAGTCTAAACAACCCACCATAATTTTCTCGGCCACTCCAAAGATAACAAAATATTCTTTCTGTCGTCAATCATAAATATATACATTAAAATTACCTGTATGAGGGGGGCATCCAATAACCATACTGAACCTTCATTTGCTGATGAATTTCTATAAGTTCCCCACCTTACCTGATTTTTAAAAATGGGTAACAGAATGCTGCTTCTCTTTGGTACATGTCAAAAGTGGGGCAGCCATGCTGATGATGTCAACATGTTCATCTGCACTGTAATGTCATGTGCCTAACATATGACATCCTTAACAACATTACTGACAGGTTAAAAGACAATGGTATGGTTACTGTCATTTGTATAAGACTTTCAAGGTTTCATATGAAACTCTCTATGAATTATTCTTAAAGAAAAGAAAATCAAACTGTACAACATAATCCCTGTGGGTTCTAGGACCCCATTTTGAAGGGAAAGAAAAGAACAGACCCACACCGCCTCCCCATTTCCCCCGCCCCCACACACACACACTGAGCATGTTGCAGAAGTTGACTTATTAGCGGTGTTTCCTTTAAAGTCAGAATGCATCTGCCTGACAGGTGAGGAACCAATAGTCTGCCTAAAAATATGACCTATAAAATGGATATGATGCAAAAATCAATTTCTAGAATGAGACAAGTCCAGAAGTGGAAGAAACAACTCAAATTTTCTGCCAGAAGAAGAATATTCAATATAGTAGGAAAAACCAAATACCAAAAAGAAGATCCTTGCATTTCCTTACATTATCATCATCAAATGCTTTGCCACCTGGCAAGGAATAGCATGCCTTTCCACATCTTGCAATCTCCAACTTAATGTATCAGTTTGAGTGCTGATATCTTTCCTCACCATGACAAAAAGCTGCCAAAAAACATGTTTTCCTCTATCTCTCCTTCTATAAAATACACATTACAAAATCATACACAAGAAGAAGAGTATACAAATTGGTAGAGGACACCTTCTTCTTCTTCTCCTCAGCATTCACCGGCCGTAAACTCCAGCAGTAAGTTCTGGTTATTCATACACTTCTGGACTTTGGTCTTGTTCCAGAACTATAAACATCCATTTTACGGATCTGGCTCATTTGTAAGCTGACTGACTGTTTCTCAGCTCTCTGGCAGAGACACTCCAAATTTGGAGAAAACACTCCATTTAGTCATCTTTCAAGACAAGCTTATCAGGGAGCTGTGGGTCTATTCTTTATTTTCCCCTAAATGTGGAAGACTATTTCCCCCTTCCCCCAAAAATGTGGAAGTCTATTCTTCTCTTCACCCCCCCCCCACTCCCCCTCCCCCAATAATGTGGAAGTCTATTCTTCTTCCCCCTAATCTGGAAGTCTATTCTTCTTCCCCCTAATGTGGAAGTCTATTCTTCTTCCCCCAAAAATGTGGAAGTCTATTCTTCTTCCCCCAAAAATGTGGAGGTCTATTCTTCTTCCCCCAAAAATGTGGAAGTCTATTCTTCTTCCCCAAAAAATGTGGAGGTCTATTCTTCTCCCTCCCCCTCCCCCCCAATAATGTAGAAGTCTACTCTTCTCCCCCTCCCCAAAGCGAAAGTCTGTTCTAGAACCCACATGGGGATGTTAAAGACTGAGCCAAAGATAAGAAACTTTAAAACCCACCTTCTCTTTTCTTGGTGGCCCCGTGGCTGGTGGTATCTCGGCATGTGAAGCAGCTTGAGATTTCCCAACCCCCCTAACTCGAATGTCATCAACATAAATCTGCCGCTCCTTCAGTGTGAAGCCAAATTCAGTTTTGTATCTACAAATGCCAGCAATAAATGTGTTCTTAGCATCTTACATAGTGTTTAAAAATGTAAATACATCTGCGTTGTTTAGATTTGTCTCCTCTCGGACTGAAGCATGAAAGATTGACATCATACCTTCACACTTCTTAGAATTCTTCTTCTTCTTCTCTAGTCCTGTACTGCCTTTCAGCATCAGGTTTTGAAGAGGTATTTGTGAGAGCCTGTGTATGTGCTACATAGATGGTGGTATTTACAGCCTCAGCTATTCCATCTATCCATGGCTTGCGTGGTCGACCTCTGGCTCTGCTTCCATTATGTCTAAGTGACAGGGCTCTCTGTGATGCACAGTCTTGACACATGATCAAACCACGATTCACCACAGACTCTGGTCTTGTCCCAGAACTTGGGTTTTGTGTGCATATCCATTTTACAGATCTGGCTTATTGGTATGTCGACTGCTGGTTCCTCACCTCTCAGGCAGATGCACTCAGACTTCAAAGGACTGATACCAAGAGACTCCAAGAGCTCCCATGTAGATGGAAATTTAACAGAAGCAAAGCCCAGAAACTTCTTTCAACCATTCAAAACAGTTACACTTAGGGCCCCCTATGGTTACATAGGTTCCGCCACCCAACTACTGAGCTGAGTGCTTGGTGAGAGACTGTGAGCTGTTGATTTCATGTGGAATATTTTTATTTGTAGTTCCAGCGGTGTGTTGCTGACTGCACTAAAATGGTGAGAGGCCGACAACATTCAGAATAGTGAGTACTACTTTTGCAGGTGCATGCTGGCTTTTGTGATTCACCATACATCAGTGAGTTTTAATTCTAGTATGAGACGGTTAGTGTTGCTGGCACATATGACAGCTGCCTTTTGTATTTTCACTTGGTGTTTGCAAGCTTCAAGATGTTGTTGGGGCCAAAAACAATTTCATAAATTTTCAAATGGAATGGCAAAGGACATTTTGTGTGATTTCTGCTGGCACAAAAAAATAGAGCAGTCATGGGCCAACCCGTCAGCAGTGATGGTTAAACCTCAGCTCACAACTCTGGGAATCGTTAAAACTAATGTCCCAAGTCTCACGATAGATGGTAGAGACGTCAACAGAGAGAGCAAACTGAAGTATTTGGGAATTACATTTGACAGGAGCCTGTCATTTAAGGACCATGTGGAGAGTGTTGTGACGAGATGCCAAAAAGGACTTAGTGCACTTAAGACTATGGCTGCAACTGACATAGAGCAGAGAATGCTTTTCACACTATATCAGCACCTGATCCTGTCAACAGTGGATTATGGACTGGGACTGCTTACCGTCTTAAAGAGTCAAATGGACAAACTAGAGTGCATACAGAACGCGGCTATGCGGGTCATTCTGGGTTGCACCAGAGACACCCCAGTGGTGTGTAATCGATACATCCTTGGTTTGCGGATGGTTGCAGGTAGGCACAAGGTGCTGCAGGCGAAGTCATATCTCAGGGTAGCTGCAGACACAGACCACCCTCTGCATGAAGCTGTGGGTGCAGTTAAGGGTCAGCGGCTGATAAGAGGGAGGTCATGGATGGCTCAGGCAGAAGACACAATCAGACAGGTTTGCATCCTTGAGAACATTAGGCGAGGAAAGGAGTGGGTCAAAGTGCCACCTGAACAGTCAGACTTGTGTAGAGTCATAATCACGCTGAACCGGGAATGCAGAGACTGGCCAGCAGGTGCCACAGAGGTGGAAATTCAGCAATTAATTCAAGATAATGCTCGCTCAGAGGATTTGATCACTTACACATACGGTTCAGTGTCAAGAGGCAAAAGAAGTGCTTGGGGCTTCTTAGCAAAGGGTAATGGTCGACGTTTGGTGCAGAAGAGCCTAGCATATGATACCACAACATCCAGCTTAAGAATGGAGGTGGAGGTGGTCACTGCAGCTTTTTCGCTGGCTAGAGAACAAAGCGCACACACACACATCATGATTGTAACTGATTCAGAAAGCATGTTGAGGAAGATCAGAACAGGTATGCTTCGTGCAGAGTGCCATGCTTCGCTGCGGAGGACATGGGTGAGGAGTATTGTCTGGATTTTTTCATCGGTGTGTTGGGAAATGAACAGACGGACAGACTGGCTGGTTCTGCACAACTTGATGGAATACTGATACATGATAGGGCAGACGTGGTCAGTGCCTTGTGGGAGAGCGTGTACAATTCAGAGGAGCAGATGGATCACCACAGTCTGGTAAGATTGATGCAGTTGGGGGTGACAAGAAGTTCTGGCAGATGCTCGAGGCTCAGAGGAAAGGCAAGACGGACGTTTAATCAGAAAGCTACTGGCACCATTAGTATTGGAACTCTTCGCTGGCTGCTGAAGATGGTGGACGGAGCGCTTATGGGAATGCCCTGAGTGCTGTGATGTCGGTTCTTGAATCAAATCAAAATCAAATCAAATCACAACTCTGGGAATGTACCATGAAGAGTAAAATATATATCACAAATCTCATTCATGCGAAAGAAGAAAACACAAATTTGTACAGACAAATGACCTTGTGAGGAATGCTGCATGAAAATCTCCATGAGCGGGTGTGTCACGTCTGGATACAAGCTGGGCTGAGCACATCAAAGCACAGTCCGTGCCTGCATAACGAAGGTGGAGGAATGGCTGAGTCTCTATGTGTTTGCTGGAAAACAGAACCAGATCTCATATTTTAAATAAAGAAAACACCAATTTTTGAATGATTAACTCTTCTAGTTCAGGTAAGTATAATTGTAACTCATTCTTCTTCTTACGCATGCCTGCGGATCGGAAGGTCATGTGTTTGCTCCCTGGCAAAGCCATACTTTTTTAGAAACGACCTATGGCTCCCAGGTCGACCCAGCCTTGAGTGGATACCAGATGCAGTCCCGGGAAGTAAGGCGGCCAGCGTGATGCTGACCACATCACCCATCTTGTGCCGAATGGTCTAAATAATATAGTTTAGTTAGTTAGTTAGTTGACAGATTATTCTCATTGCACGTTGAACCACTCAGTCTATAAGTGTTCGCATCCCCTCCTCAGGAAATCCTGCAGCGTGCAGCGGCTGTTTTATGTTGGTTTATTATTCTTCTTTGACTACCTGCGTAGTGTTCTTGTTTGGAGACACCCTGTTTACATGTTGTTCTTGCAGTCTGACCATGGTTGCAGATTCAGTTTTCACGTCTTAACTCTCTTAGAGCATAGAGTATATCATAGTCAGACTATTTGCAGTTACTGCAAAAGCTCCAGAATCTAAATTAACAACTCTCCCTCCAAACTGAGCCGTGAAAGCCCATGAGCTTCTAACAAAGCAGATTACAGAACCATATGTGTAAATGTGCTTGAACTTCTGCTTCTACAGAAGCCAGACTCTGTTGTCTGCATTTTCTGTCTAGTTGGATGCAAACAGAGACAGATGTACAGCACTCTAAAGGCACTATATAAAATATAGGTCCAGCCCTATATGCCCTATACTCCTAAAGGCGTGGAAAAGGGTCCTTTACTTTACTTTTTTCTTCTTCTTGTCCACGTTCACTGGCTATAAACCCTGGCAGACAGTTCTGGTTGTTCTCCACCTCTGAACTTTGACCTTGTTCCAGAACCTGTGTTTTGTATGCCCATCGATTTTACAGATCTGGCTTCTTTATGTGTGCAGAAGCACTCCGACTTCAATCAAAGTAAGCACCCAAAGTCACCATTTACAATGAGCAGTGGGTCTATATATTCCCGACCCCTCTCCCCCCAGTCCCTGAACCCACATGGGAAACGTAACTCACTGATTCCTAACAATATGCTATCTAAAACAAATGAATATTTAGATCCAGTTGTTAGTTAAAATAACAAAACTAAGGGGCCGAAGGAGTTAAAGTAACATATGTGACAGTATAGGTTACTACAACAGCTACAAGGAACACAATGCATTATAGAAAACAGATTATTTCAGAAGTAATAATATGGAAACAATATTCTGCATACAAATAAGGAGATCTGCAAGATGCGTGTGCATGCAGATTTCAAATTCTGGAATAACATTAAAAGTTCAGGAGTGGACAAATAACCAGAACTTTCCACTGGAGTTCCCAGCCAGTGAATGTTAAGGATGATTTTCCTCTCTATTGTAAATGCAACAGTGACATTTTCTATGAGAGTGTTTAAGAGGTATACACAGGTATGCAGAATAATCACCTGTCAAAACCTTGCTTCATGAGCTGTGTTTTACAGTCATCCTCCAGCGCTGAAATCCTGTCATCAATCTGCTGGAAGTTTTCTGTGAGAATATGACAGTTTAAAACACAAGAAATCCTGAGGGTCATGCTAATCATAATGTGCATGGTAAGACATTTTCTGTGACGTGGTGATGATATGATGTGGTGATAATGTGGTGATGATGTTAATGTGGTGACATGTGGTGATCAGGCCAGTGATGTGGCATCAGGTATGATGTGGTGATGCTAGATTCATGATGTGGTGATGATGTGGTGATGATGTAGTGATGATGACATGTTCATGATGTAGGTGATGTTCATGATGTGGTGATGATGTGGTGATGATGTGGTGATGACGTGGTGATGATGTGGTGATGATGTGGTGATGATGTGGTGATGATGTGGTGATGATGTGGTCATGATGTGGTCATGATGTAGTCATGACATGGTCATGATGTGGTGATGATGTGGTGATGACGTGGTGATGATGTGGTGATGATGTGGTGATGATGTGGTGATGATGTGGTGATGATGTGGTGATGATGTGGTGATGATGTGGTGATGATGTGGTGATGATGTGGTAATGATGTGGTGATGATGTGGTGATGATGTAGTCATGACATGGTCATGATGTGGTGATGATGTGGTGATGATGTGGTCAGGATGTGGTCAGGATGTGGTCACAATTATCTCTGAAGCATTTATTTCTTAATTCTGCCTTTGTGTGAGCTTGATCCCAAGACCTTGAGACCAGTTCAGTGTACCAGTCATAAAGAGAATACAGACAAAAGACAATGACAGAATCCAAATATGGCAAGAGAAGACAGAAAATTGACAATGTAGAATTTACATACAAATAAGAGAAGGCAACTGCAGGTAACAAAAGTTAGAATCTACACATGATAATGAAAGGCAAACAGCATGAATTGATAATAAGATTTTTATTTCACACTGTGCCATCTCCACAACTGAAGGTTGGCTGCAATGTATCCACTGCTGACTGTAGGAGTATCACGCAGTGAAGCCCTAATCTTTTCCATGGTGTGGCTCTCATACCACAGTCCGACAGCCATGAGAAAGGTATTTTTAAACCGCGCACCATGGGAATCAAACCCTGGGTAAAGGAATCGAATCTACTGGTCGAGTCTTCTCATCATCATCATGTGCCCTGCCAACTGGCGTAGGCGCTCATGCCTCTCCACAGATCACGATCCCTGGTTGCCTGAAACAGCTCTCTTGATGATATCCCTCCATACCATCGTTTCAGCCCATCTAGCATCGTCTCTCTTGGTCTGCCTCTACCCCTTTTTCTCTGATCTTTCCAATTGTCACGATGTTCTCCAATGTCTCTCTTCTCATTATGTGGCCAAAGAACAGTGTTTGTCTCTTTCTTATTTTTGTAAATAGAGATCTGCTTTCATTAGCCTCATTTAAGCAAACGTTGTTTGTTACTCTGGCCGTTCAAGGTATTTGTAACATTCGTCTCAGAAACCACATCTCTGTTGCTTCCAAATTCTTATTAATTTGTTCAGTGACATTCCAAGATTTGCTGCCATACAGCAGAACAGGTTCTATGTAACATTTTAGCACCCTCTTTCCTGTGTTTTCTTATGCGTTTTCTTGGAAAAATAATGTACTGGTTTCCTGTTGCCTTCCACATCCGCATTGGGTATTTTAACCTGAACCCTTGACAGTAATTTCCGACTGTCAGGACAACTGGGTGCCCTTCTCTGCCCAGCTGCGGAGTGATCCACTTATTCCAGTGGATACCCGGTCATCATATCCACGCTAGCCACACCATGGTGTGTTTCCCACCCTCCACCACTTGGAGGTGCAGTTTGGGATTTTCCGTTTCATCAAATTTGAGACCAAGATGGCATTTCTCAAATTCTCTAGGTACTTTCTTTCCTACTATTGTCAAACACAAGTTCAAATGTCTGCATAGCAAGAGTCCTACTTTATGGCAACATCTTATTTTACTACAGAAAAGGTTAAACATTTCTTTCAATATCAGAGTGCATCTTCCTGAGAGGCAAGGCACCAAGAGACTGCTCCAAAAAAGCTAGATCTGTAAAAAAGATGCACAGGCAACAAACACTCAAGTCCTGGAACAAAGCTGAAGTCCAGAACTGGATGAACAAGCAAGACTTTCTGCCAGAGTTCATAGCCAGCAAATGCACACAAACAAACAAACAAAATCTAATTACCTGGGCTGTATGTTAAAGCACATGGTTCCTGTGCCTCATTAACAACATCAGCCAGTGCCATGCCATAAGCTGAAAGGATGCCTGCATATCTGCAGACAAGAAGTGGAGAAACAGATAACAAAGATTACCAAGTGTCAACTGTGTAAATTGTATCTTTTTCTTCTTCTTCTTCTTCTTCTTCTTTTTTTTCTTCTTCTTCTTCTTTTTCTTTTTCTTCTTCTTCTACTTCTTCTTTTTTCTTCTTCTTCTTCTTTTTCTTCTTCTTCTTTTTCTTCTTCTTCTTCTTCTTCTTCAGCATTCTGAGCCCTTGAGGTTCATTGCTGCAGACATCACCTTGAGATTTCCCAATCACTGTTGCGATGAAGCCTGTACAAGGTCACTACATGCTTCGAGGCCAAAAGAGAGTCACAGAAATTCCCCACGATGATGGCAGCCATCCGGTATCCACCTCTGCATTCATACTGTTACATACACAAATACGGATGAAACATTAAAGTAAACCATTGTGGTGTTTGGCACCTTTCTGTCTTTCCAGATGATAGTTTTATACTGCGCTATGGGTCCCACAGTTTATGGTGATGGCGAGTGTGACTAGCAAGACTCGCCCGCGTTAAGAAAAGTCTTCCACAATTATAGCACATGATTTCAAGACTGTTGCTGTTGACATTTGTGTTTAGTCTGTTTCTTCTCCGATGCTTGGCTTTCATCCTTTCTGTAGTAATTTCTCCATTCTTATTCTCTTCCTGATGGGCCCCCTCCACACAACACAGTCCATGGCATTTTGTCCCAAGACAACCTCGATACCTGTATCATTCATGTCCCGTTTGCACACATCTTTAAATCACAGTAGAGGTCAGCCTCAATATCTTCTGCTCACCTTTAATTCACCATAGAGGATGTCATTAAGAACTCAGCCAACCTCCATTTTCCAGGTGTGACCCAGTCACCTGAGCCTACGTTGACTGAGCATTGAGAAAACTATGGTGATACCTGCTCTTTCCAGCACCTCAGTGTCATACCACTTAACGCCAAGTATTCTTCTTAGGCATTTAAGCTTAGACTAACACTTACTTGTGAATGAACACTTCCTGCATTCCCAAAGAGCGAGCAATAGCACATGCATGTTGTCCTCCTGCGCCACCAAAGCAAGCCAGAATGTGTCGAGATGTGTCATAACCTTTAGCCTGGCGATAAATAATCCTCTGAATTAATCATCTTATTCTTGTTAGGTGTTATGCTGATGACACCGTCTTGATAGCCACAAGTCAGAAGTAACTACAGGCATTGATAGATAAGGTGGTGGTAGAAAGTGATGAAATGGGTCTCAGTTTGAATAATGGGAAGACAAAAGTAATGGTGATTTCCAAGAACAGAATAGTGCTAGTGCCTAAACCTGTAATGAAAGTCAAAGGCGTTATTTTAGGCCAAGTATCTAGTATCTATCTAATTTAAGTATCTAGGCACACAGTTAACATCCGATGGACGATGTATCACAGAGATAAAGAACAAATAGGAGAGGCCAAAATTGCCTTTTATCAAATGAAGAACATTTTGTGCAATAGATCCATATCATTGGAGGTTAGGAAAGTAATTCTCGCATGCAGCATAGAGCCAGTTTTAACATACAGCTGTGTATCTTGGACAATTAATAAACAAGCCAAACACAATATCTTGAGGCATCGGAGATGTGCTTTTACAAAAGAATCCAAGAAATGCATCCAGATGTTTTGAAAGAGGCGAGTGCTAGAAGACAACATGTAACAAACATCAGAAAGAGACAGTCATCATTTTTTTGGGTCATGCTATGAGAAGAGGGAACTGGAACATGTTGTGACCACTGGAAAGATCTGTGGAAAGAGAGACAGAGGAAGACAGCGAGACAAGATTCTTGACAGCCCTTTGTCATGGCATGGCACGGTGTCAGCACACAAACTAACACACACAGTTTCGGATCGCAGATTGTGGAGAGGAATGATCGCCCACGCCAGTTGGCAAGGCACTTCTTGGTGAGGATGATGATTCTTGTAGGTACTCAGTTTGGCAATAAAGCAGGCTAAAAATCACCCGGTCTTTTGGTATTCCCCATAGGTTTCCATGCATATGAAAAATAAACTTATCAACACCGCCATTGCAAGCATAAACTCAGCTGTGCTTATACATGTTTCTTTGGGCCCAGCACATCTAATTTCAGCAAACCCCTCATTGTGTTATGATCACTGAGAAAAGGGGACAGGGAGCGGTGGGTCTATAACTGTTTTCCCTAAAATATGACCCTAGAATTCAAACTGGTATAATAATAATTCTAATAATATAAGCAATATCAACTTTATGTTGTGGAGGGAGGGTGGCGGTGGGTCCATTATTTTTACCCCTAGAATAGGACTCTAGAACCCATACTGTTATAATAATGATAATAATATAAATTCAAATGTTGTGGAGGGAGGGTGGCGGTGGGTCCATTATTTTTACCCCTAGAATAGGACTCTAGAACCCATACTGTTATAATAATGATAATAATATAAGCAATATCAACTTTATGTTGTGGAGGGAGGGTGGCGGTGGGTCCATTATTTTTACCCCTAGAATAGGACTCTAGAACCCATACTGTTATAATAATGATAATAATATAAGCAATATCTACTTTATGTTGTGGAGGGAGGGTGGCGGTGGGTCCATTATTTTTACCCCTAGAATAGGACTCTAGAACCCATACTGTTATAATAATGATAATAATATAAGCAATATCTACTTTGTTAAAATAACCCATGACCAACAGGATTGTAGAGACAGGATTGCAGAGTCATGATCATCAACAACAAAACATTCCTGTGTACTGCTAATAAGAACTCAGAGAAAAACATCAACACAAATCAAAGTGTCAAATAACATAACACCATTGACTTTTGGTTTTATAAATAGTTTTTTTAAATATGTTATTTAAAATTAAAAAGATTTTTTTTTTTTGTAGAACAGATTATATAAGATCAAATGCACTCAATTTTAAAACTGCTTGACGCTCATTTTAAAACTTTCGTTTGCCCCACCAAGGGGGGCGTGCCCCCCACCCCTCCCCTGCCCCCTTAAACCACTGGTTCATGCATTCTGTGGTCTGGATATACTGTTCAATCAATATCCTTACCTGAGTGAGTGCCCTGATTGGCCGGCACATGGTCTCGTTTGCAACACGGATGAAACCCAGACCAACTTCCTCTTTGGTCATCTTGATAAACTTACTCTTGTCCTCTGCCTGGGCCAGTAGGAACTCATTCACCTGCACAATTTACAAGAAAATCATTATTCTGTGCTTTGGTATTATTTATTTCATTATTTTCTTTTTTTTTTTTACTGTGAGTTTCTGCAACAAGAGAGAGCTCTTTTATAGAATGAGGAAGGTGGGCACATGGACAACCCTTCCCTTTTTTCATCTCAGCTTGCTGCTGTCAAGGAAACGTTTACAAAAATAATATACACACAATTAAGGACCTTAAAGAAGCAATCAGAATTATCATTCAAGAAATAACAACAGACATGTGCAGAAAGTATAAGACAATATGAAGAGACATGAACAGTCACGTCTTGAAGCCTGTGGGGGACAATTCCAATAACGAATGGGAAAAGAGGAAGAGGAAGATCAAAGAGAAGATAGGTGCAGGATGTGGCGGATGATCTCCAGATGGGTGTATCGGACTCAGGGCATCTTGAGGTGATCGAAAAGTTTTCCTGAGCAAGGTTCTGCAAAATACTGACCGACTGACTGACTGAATAATGAATATTTCATTGGTACTTTCCAGCTTCCCCAGAACAACATTAGGCCCTAGCAGTGACTATTGTAACTAACTGAATGACTTTGTTTAACACATTTTTTTTAACGACATCGTGTACTTTTAATTTGTTCTGCAAATAATATGTAGTAAGATTTTACAAACACCCTGTAGTAGGTATGTAAGAAACAGAAGGAGACAGAGATAATATTTAGACATCCTCTATAACTATTTTCTAGCCACTAACTGGCTAACTGGCACTATGTGGCTGATGTGCCCACGAAAAGAGTCCTTGACTTTAACTACTCCAGCCACTTTCTGGCAATACTTATATAAGTCATGAAAGTATATAATTAAAGAAAATGATAGTTTGTTTTCAGCCTGTCCAATTCAAGTCTAATAAACAAACTTACTTTAGCCAGTGTGACTTTATTTTGAGCTCCCACACAAAAAATACATGTCATAAACACTTTTGACTTTCGCCCTATATAGAGGTTAGGCATGGCAGAATGTTTAGCTTCAAAGTTATTTTTGCTTCTGACAGCACTTTGCCAATGCAGTTTCCACATATGGATGGAAATCAACAGTTTCGCCGCCTACCCTACTGAGTTAAGTGCTAGGTGCAGCACTGTAAGCTTGTTTTTATTTTTATGTTGAATGCCTTTTATTTCGGCAGTGGTTGTGTCACGGTATTTAGTAGGGCGAGTGGCCATTTTACATCTGGGCTGGCAAAAATACTTTATGTAGTAATTTTATGTGTGGGTGACCAAGTTATTAGGACCGACTCCTTCAATTAACGACAAACTGCATTTATGGCTGCGACTGTTGGATTTGGCATCTCTTTCAACTTCCTTTTTCATTTATACTGCATGCACATATTTTTGGATTGTGCTAGGACTAACTGTTTGTTCATCAGTTTTTCCAATGCGACTGAGTATATTTCCTTTAATTTTCACTGGCATAGGAACAGAGCAAGTATCGGCTGATCCGACTGCACTGAAGTTGAAACCTCGACGATGACTACTAAACATGTTATAAAAAGCAACTAATTAGGGATGTCTCCATTAAAGTCAGAGTGCATCTGCTTGAGAGGCTAGGAACCAACAGTCTGCATACAAATAAACCAAATCTGTAAAATGAATGTGCACGCAAAACTTAAGTTCTAGAACAAGACCAAATTCCAGAAGTGGATGAAGAACCGAAACTTTCCACTGGAATTTACAGCTGGTGAATGATAAGAAGGAGAAGAAGAAGTTACTGTCAGATTTTTAGACTATAATCTCAAAAGGGAAATTATTGGAACAATATGAAAAAAGAAATAGAAAAAGAAATTCTGATTCTTACTTCATCTGTAAGCTTCTCAAAAGCCTTCATGGTAGAGTCTTTATCAAGTGGCATATCTTCAGTTTTACCAAAAATGTGAGGGAAATATTCTGGAAGCAGCCGTCCTAAACACAGATTAGCATCTGTGATAGTCAGCGGACCACCTGCGAGAAAATATGTTCCGAAAAAAGTGATAAAAACAGGGGTGATTGCAGTCAAGCTAGCATCTAGAAATTTTTTAGTGAGCTCCCCCTGTGGGTTCTGGGATTGGTGCTGGGATCCCATTATAGGGAAAACAAAAATCAGACCCACTGCCTTCTCAATGAGCATATTGTAAAAGTCAATTAATTGCGGGCTTCCTTTAAAGTTGGAGTGCATTTGCCTGAGAGACAAGGAACCAAAGGAATCCTCATGCAAATAGGCCAGATCTGTCAAATGGATGTGCATGCAAATCAGTTCTGGAACAGGACTACAGTTCAGAAGTGGACGAACAAACAGACATTTATGCCAGGGAATTTGAAGAAGATAAATCCAGTGAATTGTGACTAAGAAGCTTAAAAGGGCGATGGGAAGAGAAAAAAAAACACATACACAAGAACAATTGTTCCAGTGTTGAAAAAAAGCCACAATCAACTGGACAAAGTCTTTAGATTTCTAATATTATCATCACTATCAACAAGTGCCTTGTTGACTTGCAGAGGTGAACGTGCCTTTCCACAACTTGATATCTCCAACAGCAAGTATCAGTTCATGTGCAGACACCCTTCCATTACATGACAACATGTCAAGAACCTTCTCGTGCTGTCATCTTTTATCTCTCCTTTTATACATCTTTCCAGTTGTTGCAAGATGGTCCAGTTTTTTTTAACTCTCATAACACAGCTAAAGAAAGATGACTGCCTCCTACTGATGTTTGTGATAAGTTGTCTTCAGGCCCTTGGCTCTTCCAAAACACCTGGCTTGCTCACTCTGGCTGACCAAGTAATTTAAAGCATTCTTCTGTAAAACCACATCTCTGAGGTCTCAAGAAGTTGTTTACTGAATGTCAAGGATTGGTGGTCAGATGTTAAAACTGGTTTTCTATAACATGCAGGCATTTTTTTTTTTTTGGTTATTAACCTCCCACGACATGGATTTATGGCCAGTTTGTTCTTTATTCTATAAAATGTTATTAACCTCCCACGACATGGATTTATAGCCAATTTGTTCTTTATTCTATAAAATGTTATTAACCTCCCACGACATGGATAAAATTTATGGCCAGTTTGTTCTCTTTATTCTATAAAATGTTATTAACCTCCCACGACATGGATTTATAGCCAATTTGTTCTTTATTCTATAAAATGTTATTAACCTCCCACGACATGGATTTATGGCCAGTTTGTTCTTTATTCTATAAAATGTTATTAACCTCCCACGACATGGATTTATAGCCAATTTGTTCTTTATTCTATAAAATGTTATTAACCTCCCACGACATGGATTTATAGCCAATTTGTTCTTTATTCTATAAAATGTTATTAACCTCCCACGACATGGATTTATAGCCAATTTGTTCTTTATTCTATAAAATGTTATTAACCTCCCACGACATGGATTTATAGCCAATTTGTTCTTTATTCTATAAAATGTTATTAACCTCCCACGACATGGATTTATAGCCAATTTGTTCTTTATTCTATAAAATGTTATTAACCTCCCACGACATGGATTTATAGCCAATTTGTTCTTTATTCTATAAAATGTTATTAACCTCCCACGACATGGATTTATAGCCAATTTGTTCTTTATTCTATAAAATGTTATTAACCTCCCACGACATGGATTTATAGCCAATTTGTTCTTTATTCTATAAAATGTTATTAACCTCCCACGACATGTATTTATAGCCAATTTGTTCTTTATTCTATAAAATGTTATTAACCTCCCACGACATGTATTTATAGCCAATTTGTTCTTTATTCTATAAAATGTTATTAACCTCCCACGACATGTATTTATAGCCAATTTGTTCTTTATTCTATAAAATGTTATTAACCTCCCACGACATGTATTTATAGCCAATTTGTTCTTTATTCTATAAAATGTTATTAACCTCCCACGACATGTATTTATAGCCAATTTGTTCTTTATTCTATAAAATGCAGTTTCTGTCTGATCTATACTGTTCTTTGTCTCTGTGATACATCTTTCTGTAATGTTATCTATGTGTCCAGATACTTAAACTTCTGTACTTGTCACAAGATAATGCCACTGACCTTAACTGTGTATTCTTATCTTTGATATTGCCATCACTTCAGTCTTCCCATTATTTTTCATCTTCTGCATTCATTCATATCGAAGATGTAACTGTTTTGTGCTGTACCCATTTACAGCAAGACTGCGATATTTGCGTCTTTCGGCCAGCACATCCCACTTCTGTAGGCAATTCCTGAATTGGTGAGCCTTCCTGGTTCCCATTATTGAAGCTGAGGTCCAGTCTTCTGTTTTCTACAAGGTTAGTTGCGTATCCTTTACAGGACGTTGCAGAACCAACCCCAACATCCCCTGGCTGTTGTGTGGTTTTTCTAGGCAAATTCCTGTAGTTTGCCACTGCTTTCTGGACGGTCGGCTTTCTTGATACCACAATCGAAACCAACACAAGGCACATGGCCCACAGCTGGGATCGAACCCCGCATCCCGGCATTATGAAGCGTTCACATCAACTAAGTAAGCCACAGGGCCAACTCTGTTTTCTACAGCCACTGTAAATACTGGAAATGTTGACTGCAAACACTGGTTCCCCACTACAAAGGCCTGGAAATATCAATTGTGGGTCTCCTATCATTTAAGAGTTTAAACTATTTTATCATTTACAGGAGTCTTCATCGATTGACAGTCTTTACCTTTCAGGTCAGCATGATACTGACCACATCACCCACTGAGTGCTGATTAGCGTATAAAATATAGGCCTGGTAATGTATGCTAAAATACGCCTGCAAGTCGTGAAATATAATGCTTTACGTGTTACCTTTCATGTAGCAGACGGGCCCAGGATGGGCTCCTGCCGATTCTGGACCGACAACAAACATCCCAGATCTGAAGAACAGCATGGAGCCTCCACCAGCAGCCACTGTGTTGATGTCCAGCTAGAGAATAAGGATAGGGAAACATTTACACAACACAATTACAAACATCAAAAAGAGCACGATTCAGTACAATACAGTTATCAATATTGTGTTATCAATGCTAAACATGAACAAAAAAAAGGAAAAGGACCCTCCCTCTCCCCCAAAATAATTGAAACAACAGAAATGACATGTTTAGGATCAATAAATCTTAAATATAACAAGAAGCACAGGATCATAAATGATAATATCAGGAAGCAAGTTGGGACGGATTTGGTGCTAAATTGAAGAGACAACAGATCACATGGTCTGGATATGTGTCTAGGCTACCAGAAGACAGTGCCATTTTATTCAGACACAATGGAAGCAGAGCCAGAGGCTGCCCATGCAAGTGATGGACAGATGGCATATCCGAGGCTGTGAATACCAACAGTAACGTAGCACATACCAAGGCTCACAAAAGATGACTCTTCAAAACCTGACGCTGAAAGGCAGAACAAGACTAGAGAAAAGAAGAATAAGAATGGAAGTTTTGAGTAACCAAAACCAGTGGCTTTCAGAGGGGGGTTGGAGTGCACAATGAAGTTTTGGAATGGGGAGGAGGGGGTGACTGAAGCAATTTTAAAATTGAGTTCATTTGTATTTGCATAATATGTTGTTTTTTTCAGTACTCCTTTGTGTTGTGACCAACATCAGATCAAAAATAGCAGATATCATCAAGAGAAAACAGTGTCAAACATCACACTGATATTTGGACAATAAATGACCACTTGTTGGTGACTGTTGTTTTTTCTAATATTATTCGACAATATAATTTATGTGGATGTTCTTCCAAGTTCTTGTTAATAGTGCTAGGCATTTTCTTTTTGTCATCCTCATTTTTAATAACACCTTTTTATTTAATTGGCGTCAGGGCTAGGGTGTCTTGCCATATATTCAAGGAAGGTGCTACCTGAAAAGGTTTGAACACCACTGATCTAAACTTAAATCTGTTCAGTATTAGATCAACTGACCGCAAAGGGTCAGAGCCTTCAGTGTCTACCTACCTGAGGTGCCTGTATTGTGATCCCTGCTGTCGTGGACTCAAACACATGCTCAAAGTCACCTGCAAACCTGCTGACATCTGTGGATGTGCCTGACAGGGAAATGTTAATCAAATATTCAATGACAATGTAAATGATTTTCTAAAGGACAGCGTTAAATGTGATGTGTGGCACTGGGAAATAAGGTGTATGACAACTTTCTATAGAATAATGGTAAATTATTGTCAGAATTTTTCTCACGCGTACTTTGTGAGTGATTCCAGGAGCATCATTAAGGAGAGTGAGACAGGGTGGGTTTGAAGACAGTGGTTGGAGACTAAGGAAACCTTGCCTGATAAGAATCAGCTGTGCCCAGAGTATCTAGGGGTAAGAGGAAATGAATGAGTAGACTGGCTTGCTGGTAAGGCCACTGTAAATCAGGCCAAACATTAGACCAGGCCAGTGTTCTCAATGCTCTGAAGGAGGTAGGATGATTCAGGAGATGATGGTGAATCAGCAATATTTAAAAAACTACAAGAACTTTAGATCAAAAGAGGTATTGCCAGACATGAACCCTATACAGGTATCCCCTCCACACACAAAAAACTACATAGAACTGGTGTTATCATTTGCTACACACTGAAGGATATACTGAAGATGGGATCCGAGCGATTATGAACCTGTCCGATATACGATGAGGATTATCTGTTTTATTAACTCTTTCAGTCACAAGGAATACATTATACGTTGATAGGTTCTTACCTACAAACCCACTGAAGGCAAGATGCATCGATTTTATGTTTTTCTGTACTACACCTTAGGTCTCTGATGCTCAACTCCCAGCACTGAAAGAGTTAACTAATGGTAATTAAGACAAAAGAAAAAGTCGGTTAAATGCTAGATCCGTGTTTTGAGAAAATCATGTCAGAACATGAGTGGCAAATGATAATTGTGTAGTGGCAATTAATACTCCAATATGATTTGGGGGTTTTAGTTCACATGTGTGCCTCTGACATAATGTAAAATGACAATGTCAACCTTTAAAATGCACTTAGGGGAAATTCATCAAAACTTCTCTTTGGTGACTGCGGCATAGTTGCCACCCATATTATGTGACAGGAAATATACAAATTTAATTTAGGTAATAATGACAGAACTGATAAGATCTGAGAATACCAAAAATATCTACTCATAAACTGTACATAAATAATGATATATCCCACAGCCAACTTCAATAAAATGATCCTTTTTCAATGACAGGATAGTCAAATGGTATTTTAGATTAACTGTTCAATAAAACATCACAGAGCTTTTCTGTTTCAAATGGTAAGCACTCTAAGCTATACTGTTTCAAAACCAAGTTACTTATTTCAAATTCTAATGTTATTTAAATTCTAACATATGCAGTCAATACTGGAGAACCACTAAAGCCATGGAACACAAGTAGGCACATTTCTTCTACTTCACGTTTACCGGCTGTAAACTCCAGCGACAATTTCTGAGTGTTCATCCACTTCCAGACTTTAGTCTTGTTCCAGAGCTTGACAGTTGCGTGTACATCCATTTCATTTATATGGCTTATTTGTTTGCAGACTCTTGGTTCCATGCTTCTCAGAAGCACATTTGAAAACAAATGTGTGAGGAAATTAAATGAGATTAATTCAAGAAATGCAAAGAAATCACAGAAATGTCTGGATAAAACTTCTGCAGAACTGCTAAAAGAGTACAAAGATGGTGACAGATTGAGGCACTGCAATGTACCCCCACTCTCAGAGTACCATAAGTAACGTTTTTCTTTTTTTTAAAGTTGAATGTTGAATTAACATCATAGCAATCAGGACACCACCTTAAGCGCTCTGTCTCCATCTTCCGCAGCAAGCAAAGATTTCCAATTCCGATGGTACCAGTAACTGTCTGATTGTTTATCCGACTCGCCTTTCCCCTGATTGTCAAGCGTCAGCCAGATCCTCACAGCGCCATTTTTGTCAGATCGTAATGATCTATCTGTGCCTCTGCATTGTTCACTTTGCTCCCAAAACATCCTCATAACACCCAGCTTGTCATACATCAGTCCACCCTAAGTGGTGCAGAACTAGCCAGTACATCTACCTGCTCATTTTCCAACACACCGAAAAAACCTGGAGAAAGGATGCTAACTACCCATTGGGTGCCCCAGCATATAACCATGTCATATGGCTAAACAGGCTTTCTAGGATTTGCAATTTTGATTCCCATCTGGGAAATGGTAATCCTATAGAATTAAGTCCTAAAGGGGATCAATTAGTAACAGTATTGGGCACAAATTCCTCACAAATAATCTAGAGACACAAGAGGACAGAATCTTTCAATTTAACACAATTTAATCTACATGTGTTTACCTCCCATGTCAAAGCCAATTACTGGGACTTGTTTCTCCTTGTCGAATGTGGTTTCAGCATAGCCAACAACTCCACCGGCCGGACCAGACAGAATCGCATGAGATCCCATGAAACTGCAACCAGATGTATTTATGTTTGTATATTTTCTTAAATAAACAAGGCTGGCAGAGGGAGGGATCATGGTGCATGGGCAACATATGATCTCTACAATATTGCCCAGGCGTTGTGTTTTGGAAATGAGCATTACCTTACCTCCCTTTTTAGTCGATTCCAGTCATCTCCTTAGTGAAATGCAATTTTTTCTCTATTTTGAAGCCCCACCCTGGCTCTTGCCAGGGGCCACAATAAAGCCTGACCATAAACATGGTCTAATGGCTGAACGTGGTTTCTGGGACCTCTCCACGGGTGATCCTCATCCACATAGTGGCACTTTGTGTCATCGGGTGTTTATCGCTTGTGTGATGTCCTAGTGGGGTAAAAATCTACTATCTCCCTTTACAACAATATACAGGGTTTTCTTGACTAACAGGTGGCAAGTCAAATTCACAGTGTTCAACACTATTTTCAGTCAAAATGTTGATTCAGACAGTCTGCAATATGTGGTAGGCTCATACAAGACTCTGACTCGAAGGGCATCAGTTCCTGGAACTTTCTGACCCACTAATGTAGTGACCTTTCTTTACTTATTTTTGTTTGGGTAGTAAAAGTGTGTCGATCATAAGTCGCATAGGTCGTAAGTCGAGGAGAAAGAATAGTCTGAAAAGATGGAAAGGTGCCAACAACAACATTCTGTTACAAACAATTTCACTATATCTTCTTCTGCATTCATCCTCGAAATGGTGGTTGGAACGTTGTGTTGTGGTTTACAGGTAAGCTGTAATGTTCTGAGTCAAATTTCAGCACAACCTTAACTGGTCACCTTTTAAAACATGCTTATTTGAGGGCAGATTGTCTAATTAACCAGCTGTAATTTACAAAAATATCTATAACACAACATAAAAATATCGTCTGGAAAGATGCAACAGTGACAATGAAAATAAAGTGCATACATGTGTATTCAAAAGAAACATATATCTGTGCATGTATGTGAATGACTGTGCTTATACTAGTGTGAAGTTACTGACACTAACATAAGACTAAGCACTACATACTTTTCCATGGGTGTCAGTCCTCCATCAGACCTCATAAACAGAACTTTGGCTCCCTGATAAATAAATTGATACAATGGTGATTATTATACAAAGTCATTCAAGGAACTGTTACTTCTGATAATCATGTGTTGTTTAACTCCACCAGGGCAGCACAACAAGCGACCAACACCCAATGACACAAATGCCACCATTCGGATGAGGATCACCGGGGCACAAGTCCCAGAAACCCTGTTCAACCATTAGGTTGTATTAGGGCCCCTGACTATAGCTAGGGTGGGGCTTTAAGATAACCAGAAACTGTGTCCCACATTGGGGTGGGAGTGATTAAATCAATGAATATTGAAAGACATTCATGTAGTCTACAGTTTCTCTTTCTCATGATAACTTTAGTTATAATTGTTTGGTGACACATTTTGAATACTGTTTTTTACACTGAGAAGCATAACGGTTACATTGTAAAAGTAAAGCCCAGGATCCAAGTGGTAACTGGTGGGTGAAAAGCATTGCATTTTTTTCTGGGAACAAAGGTGCCGGTACTCACCACATAGTGTCTTTAAAAAGTTACTGTTACTCACTGGAAAGTGTCTTTTACATCAGCCCTGTTCCTTCAAAGTCAAAGTGCTTCTGCCTGAGAGGCAAAGAACCAACAGTCTGCATACAAATAAGCAAGATCTGATGCACAAGCAAAACTCAGGTCCTTAAACAAAGCCAAAGTCAAGGAATGGACTGCAAGTCTACAAGGAACATAGTGTGAGTTAATTCAGGGATTATGCTCCATGAGGACTTGAAAGACAGATTCTTCTTCTTTCACCAGCTGTACATTCTGGCAGAAGGTTCTGGTTTTTTGTCCACTTTTGAGCTTTAATCTTGATCTAGAACTTGCATTTTATGAGCAAAAAATCTGTATTACAGATCTGGCTTATTTGTACGCAAAACGTTGGTTTCTTGCCTCTCAACCAGATGTGCTTCAACTTCAAAGGAAAAATCTCTAATAAGTCGTCTTTTACCACATGCTTGATATATTGGCATTTTTTTTTTTTTCTAAAATAGGAAGGGAGTAGGTCTGTTCCCCCCCCCCCCCCCCCCCCTTAAAGTGGTCCCCGAAACACACACAGGAAAAAACAGGAAAAAAAAAACAGATGAAAAGGAGAAGAGATACAAAGCACTGAACATGATACATTCATCTGTACTTACCTGGAGTCCTTCTCTAAATCCCTCAATGTATCTCTTAATGCAGGGTGTTAAGTAGGCATCAGCACAAGCTGTGGAAATTTAATTGAAAATCACCTTTATAAATCTACATTACCGACAGCTTCTTCCTCTACTCCTGACGTTCCTCGCAGAGTTAGGGGAGGAAGAGACCTCTGGAATGGGCTCTTCTGTTCACATTCTATATAGTACTTTTTAGTGTCTCTGATATTTCTGTTGTCCATATTTTGTGTGGTCAACCTCTGGATCTGCTACCGCTGTATCTGTATAACACTGCTCTCTGTGATGCCCTGTCTGATGCCAATCTTGTTAGATGGCCAAACCATTTGATCTGTTGTCTATCGATAAAGCTCAGCATTAGTTCTGTGCCAACTCTCTTCCTCATATAATCATTTTTAATTGCTGACAGCACACACCTGCTTAGTAATCAGGTTCACCAGCTGTCAGTATACATCAGTATTATGTGATTGTATAAAAGGGAAGCAAAAGCAGTCAAATTCAGAGGTTATGAAGGGAACAGGAGTAAATTGAAGGAAATAAAAAAAGAGACAAGTGAAGTATTTTGGCCATTTTAAAAGACATAACACACTCATGAAAGAAATACTGGGGTCAAAGGTTTAAAACAAGCAAACAAAATGCAGTGAGTGTTACAAATGGTAGGATAACATCAACAAGAGATGGATGCACAGTAGTATGTGAGAGTGTACATCCAGGACAAAAGATGGAGTGTATCAGGGATTCATTGCAGCCAACTTTCTTTGTGAAGATGGCACCAGACTGACTGCCTGACTGAGAGTGTCTTTCCAGTTGACTGTGACGGGAGAGACATTCCACAAAGGACCTGATACATGAGGATTAATATACTGCTTGGATAGACAAACAATAAGCATTATTAACAAAATTTAAAAAAAAATGTTGTAGCAAAGATTTTAAAAAGTAAAAGGTGGAAGAGAAGTCCGTACAAAGAAGACAAGATTATATTTGAGAGGACAACATCAAGAGAAGGGCTAAAAAAAGCTTCTATGAATGCACCATGAAGGCAAAGAAAAGTAGTAGTTGGAGCATGACGATTAACATACGGCTCGGATAAGTAAACAACAAGCATAAATTATCAAAATTTAAAAAGAAATGTAGCAAAGATTTTAAAAAGTAAAAGGTGGAAGAGAAGTCCGCACAAAGAAGACAAGATTACATCTGAGAAGACAACATCAAGAGAGGGGCTGAAAGAAGCTTCTACAAACACACCATGAAGACAAAGAAAAGAAGTTGTTGGAGACTTATCACACTTAACCTCCAATACAGAGATGGCTCTTGACTGACTTGACTCAGTAAAGCTTTTCTCCACATTAATTGCTGTGCCCTATTTACTACAGACTATCTCTAGTTTTGGAGTTCTGGTTTGGAACCAGCCATGATTGTTTTTCTGTTTGTCCACTTCTGGATTTTTGTCTTACTACAGGACTTGCAGTTTTGCATGCACATCCATTTCACAGATCTAGCTTATTTGTATCCAGACTGTTGGTTCCTCATCTCTCAGGCAGATGCACTCTGACTTCAAAGGAAACATTCCTAATTAGTCGACTCTTATGACATTCTTGTTAGGGCAGCAGTGGGTCTATTCTTCTTTGTGTGTGCGCGCGTAGGTTTTTATTTTGTGGTTCCCACAATGTAGCTCCGAGATCCACAAAAGGACGACTTGATTCAGTCAGTAAAGAATTTAGACTCACCAGTGTATCCCCGAGGAACAATTCTAGCCATGGACATCACTTTTGAAGACAATGAAACATTTGTAAAGCCCATCTCTTGTGCAAGCTTCCCAACAGCTTCCTCGTGACCTGGATAGCTGATTTAAAGAACACAAATACAATAATAGACAGCAATTTAACATTATAAAAGAAGATAAGACACGAAGACAACTTATCACAAACACCAGAATATAAATAAGGGCGTAAATATTCTGGCCACATTATGAGAAGAGAAAAAAATTTTACTTTATAAAATAGGCTTTTATTCAACATGGGAGCCGCCGTGGTGTAGCGGCTAGATGCTCGCCTGCGGATCTGAAGGTTCAGGTTCTGATGGAGCCAGACTATTTTCAAAAATTACCTTAGCTCCCAGGTTGATTCAGACTTAAATGGGTACCAGGTAAAGTCCTGGGAAGCGAAGGCGGTCAGCATGATGTTGACCAGATCACCCACCTAGTGCCGAATGGTCTATAAAATATAGGTCTAGCCCCATATGCCCATATGCCTGTAGGCGTGGAAACAGGTCCTTTACTTTTATTTAAAATGCAAATAGTATTGCAATGAACTAAAACCACCAAAAAGATAGAAATAATTTATCATTCAGTTTAACGGAGATAAAAGAAATTTCATTACTAAATGTACCACAAATTTTATTATTACAACTAATCAAATACTTTTCCAGAGCTTATCATAAACAGTGAACAAATTAAAAGTTTTTCCCCAGATATATATGTCTGTGTGTAGACACATGAATGCAAGCATCCACACACATGCAACTTCAAAATCAATAGTTTTCTCTCAGATGTGTGAGTACACACATGCAAGCATCCATATACATGCAACTTCTTAAATATATATATATATATATATATATATATATATATATATATATATATATATATATATATATATATATATATATATATATATATATATATAACAGTGTTTCATATAAGTGTATGCTCTCCAGATTTTCATTTCAGCAGACAAATAATCGCCCCAATATGTGGCAAAATTTTTATTTTTTAAAATTATTTCTATTTTAAAGCCACACCCTGGCTGTCGTCAGGGGCCCTAAAAAAAACTAACGGCTGAACAGGGTTTCTGGAACTTGTGCCCGGGTGATTCTCATCCAAATGGTAGCATTTTGTGTCACCAGGTGGTTATCACTCCGTGTACTGTCCTGGTGGGGTTGAATGTCTGTCATTTCAGCAGAATACTACCACGGTTATTGTTTCTTTACTCAGCAATGGCTCATCATTAAACTACGATAACGCCAAACTGAGAGAGTCAAACTATCACAAGTCTTTAGATAAACACTCACATGTATGAATGCATAAGCACCACTGCAAGACTCCTGATGCCTTCATCCAACACTTCCTGTAAATCTATTCTCAGCTGAGACAGATTTAACGGCTTCCATGTGTACAACTGTCAGGACAATAATTTTGTTAAATTACTTTTAAAAAGATTAGTGATTACCGATTTAAGAATCAACATCATAGCACACCGGCATAACCTCAGGTGCTCCCTTTCCCACAGCAAATATCTCAGGCTGTAGATGCTAACTGTGCCCGAAGCCCCCTCATCATAAACTCAACGTTCTCTTCCTCTTCTTTAAAAAAGAGAGTGGCTGTAACAAAGTAATTAGTGAACTCGCATGCCAGCACAGGGATTTCCCTTGATCAAGAATATTTCCATGCCCTGAAGGCTTATGGGTTGACCCAGTTTCACAAAATGGATACTAAGGAAATTTCTGGGAGAAATGTGGCTGGTCATATGTGTGTTACCACTCTTACTGCTACTGGCACCATCAGAATTGGCTGCTGAAGATGGGGTGAGTAAATGAGTGAGCGAAGTTGAACACCACTAGAACTGCATACTGAGCAGGTAACATGCAGCGACCCAAAGAGACACTATTCTTATAAGAATAAGCCAGGTACTAATCCCAGAAAGCCCTGTAGGGTTACACGGAGGACTCTGACGGTTACGAAGTAACCTGAAGTCAAAAGTACCGAAAGTGCTCTGAGGGACCCCAAGTGCTGTGATGCTGGTTCTGAACTCAAGATATTTACTCTTGAGTCACCTTGGCCCATAAGGGAAGCCAAGTTTATTAAGACTGTAGCTTCAATTTCTTGTGACCTACAGCCTATTTTTTTTTAAGTATATTACATATGCTTTTTTTTTTAAAAACTGTATGGACTTAATGACACAGTCTGTGGCTAAGGTGTTAAGAACATGCTTCGTAATGCTTCCGGGGTTCCAGGTTCAATCCCAGCTGTGGACGATTTGTCTTGCATTGGTTTCGACAGTGGTGCCGAGGTCTGACCATTCAGAAGCAATGGCAAACTACTGAACGTAAAATCAGCCTAGAAAAACCACAACAGCCAAAAAATTCTGGGTTTGGTTCTGCAACATCCTGTAAAGGATACACAACTAACTTTAATGGAGCTAACACACGTTAACTAATGTGTTAATGATTTCAGCTGGCACTGCCAATGTCTGGTATCAAACTTACCATCTCTCCTGTGGTTCCTTTAACTGGTCCATCAGTACGCTGTATCAGGCAATCCTCCTGTTTGAGAACAAGACGCTCTTCTACCTCCACTACTTTTTCATACAGATTTTCAGGACTTACAATTTCCTGTTGAAATAATTGTTAACACAGTGAAGCCTAATATGTCTTTTAGTTCAAATAAGCAATTTCTTCAGTTGTTTTATCCCGTAAGAAGAAGAGGCATGGGGTTACCAGCACAGACACACGATAATGGAAACATTTCTAGTATAAAATACATGAGGTAGAGGACCTGGAAAGAGACCAGGATTTTTCCCAGCAGGCAAGAGTGATGCTAATGCAGTAGCCACAAACTGTGCAGGTTAGGATTTGTATTTCTGTCCCCAGCAGAAAAGAAAAATCTCCCTCCTTTACCAAGGTTCAAACCCGGGTCTCCCATATAAGAGCCCAGAACTTTGACCAGGCAGCCAGCCGCTGTAGAGTTTTAAATCAGCAGAGAGACTGATGACTGTTGGAACATTATAAGCCCAACTGGGCATCCACATTGTGGATAGCCTGCGTAGTGTAGAGGCTCTCCAAGATCTCAGAGAGTGTAACACCAGGTCATGGTCATCTAAGCTTAGCAACCAACCCATCAGTTATTGTCAAGACATTACAATGTATACATGTGTTATATTCTTCTTCTTCTTCTTGCATTCACTGGCTGTGGAAAGTTCTGCTTCTGCATCCTGTGGTGGACTTTAATCTTGTTTCATAACTTGAATTTTGCATCAATCACTCAATCAGAATGGCCTCTGCAAAACATCCCTCTCTTCATGGTCTGAAAGTCTCTCCTTCTCTAGCCAATTTTCCGGCCCTGTGTACTTACACAGCCAATCCAGCTTCATTATTCTGTATCCACCTTCACTGTGGTCAGCCCCTGCCTCACTTTCCAGAAACTGCACCCTAGATCACCATTTTGCACACACATCCAGACTGCTGGTTCCTCCCTTCACTGGCAGATGCACTCTGACTTCAATGTAAACACCCCTAACTAGTCCAGTCTTACGACATGCCTGTTACGAAGGATAGACACACTGTCCCTTAACAAGCATGTCATAAAGTGCAACTAATTAAGTTTTTGCTGAAATTGATGTGTTAAGGTACACACATCGCAGCCTGGGTGTAAACCACAATGCAAGGGTGAGCATAAAAGAAGAAAAAGAGGAAACCCATTTTCACAGGGTTTTTTGTGCGTGTGGTACAATTGTATATAATCAATGACTTGTTATTATTCAAATATTATTATTATTACATTTTTAAACGCAACAAAAAAAAAAAAATTAGAAACACATTTTTGCATACAATAATTACTTATATAAATAATAATAGTATAAACATAACAATAAAAATTTTGACAATACAAATGTGGACAATCTCGAGAAACACATTTGCTAATTATGTACTTTTCTGATTAACAATTTTGATAATATAGATATGATCATTTCTAAGTAACAATTTTGATAAAATAAGTAAAAATATTTCTAAGTAAAAATTGTTTTCAATATTTAATTCTTAATATGGCACTGACCAGGTCAAAGATATTTGGACGAGACTGGTTGCCAATATGCAGCAGATCTCGAAATCCTTTGGTGATCACTAAGGCCATGGGTTCTCCTTTCCGCTCAAGCAAGGCATTAGTTGCCACAGTTGTGCCCATTCTAATCCAGTCAATCTTGCTAGTGTCAACTGACACCCCTGGGGAGTTTGTCTCCTAAACAGAATACAAACAAAGAAATACAGTGAACAGATATTATTCTGTTCATTTTGTAACACTGCTTGTCATTGCGTCACCAGTTGCTGCTGACTGTCTGATCAGCTCCCTCCACCTTTGATGGTCTGCTGCAGGACTTCATGGTTGCATGCCAAAGGAAAAGCAGTCAGTCAAGTTCTGTATCCATGTCTTTCGTGGTCAGCCTCTTCTCCTCTACTGAGCCCTGTAGTATTGCTTTTGAGAGGCTGTTAGATATTATTACATATCTGTAGCATCGTACTTTCCATCTTTTCACTGTAGTTAAAAGAGGTTTATAGTTGCCAACATAGTTATTCTGTTGCTGCTATAACAATAACAATATCTTGTTCAACCTTCAGAGTTATAAATGGTACATACAGTCCATCAGGCCAATAGGTTTGCAGCTGGTCTAGGTGGGAAGCCCTAACATATGGATAGAGTGATGCTCTTCTGCAGCAGCTTTGCATTTTATTCTCTGTATAGGTGTTACCTTTCCTATTGAGTTAACAAAGCAGGCCAAGAGAAAGATCAAGCTGAATGGGAAACACAGGATCTCTACAATACTACCAATACTTTGTTCCCAATTCTCTGTATAGGTGTTACTTTTCCTATTGAGTTAACAAAGCAGGCCAAGAGAAGGATCACGCTGTAGGGTAACCTTTGTTCCAATTCTCTGTATAGGTGTTACCTTTCTTTTGAGTTAACAAAGCAGGCCAAGAGAAGGATAATGCTGTAGGGTAACCTTTGTTCCAATTCTCTGTATAGGTGTTACTTTTCCTATTGAGTTAAGAGAAGCAGCCTTTAAGAGAAGGATCATGCTGTAGGGTAACCTTTGTTCCAATTCTCTGTATAGTAAGGATTGCAATACCTTTCTATTGAGTTAACAATGCAAGCAGGTCCAAGAACTATCATGCCATTTGTAGGGCTTAACCTTTGTTCCAGGTTAGCTGTTTTTTCTCTGTATTTGTGTTTCTAATAATACCTGGCTGCTTTCTTTTGATGTATAACAAAGCACCCAGCCTATGGAGAGAGTGCATGATGCAACGCTGTGCATTTATTAGGGTTACTGTGCCCAGCGCAGTTTGTGTTGTTCCAATTCTCTGTATAGTGTCGGACTCTTTTACTTTTTCCTATGGCTGAGTCCCACCAACAAAGCAGGCCAATGAGAAGCCCATCTGACAGCTGTAAACAAGAAGGACAAATATAGAAGCAGTTTTTTGTTCACAGAGCTTCTCTGTATAGGTGATTTATCGTGTGGGTTCCTATTGTGGGAAAACAAAAAGACCCACTGCCTCCCCAAAAGCATGTCGTAAGAGTCGACTAATTGGGATCTGTTGCATCTGCCGGAGAGGGTAACATAGAGAATGAAGATCTCTACAATACTAACAATCAGGTTTTGACTGCAGCTGTAGTGGAAGAAAGAAACTTTATCACTGGTGTGAACGCTGAAGAAGAAGACATCCGTGGGCTGTCAATCCCATGCTTTTTTCTAACATAATCAAACTCTACTGTTGTGGGAAGACGGAAAGGTGCCAAAAACAAATGTCCATAAGGATGCGATATTTTGTCTTCTACCTTTTATCTCCCAATGCAACACTGGTTCTCTACCAACTACAACAGGCCATTTGTAGGCTTGAGTCTTCCAGTTAATATGGAGGATAGCAGGTTAGCTGTTTTTAGTGTTAGCAAATTTGTGTTTCTAATAATAGTTGGCTGTGACATTTTTCTCTATGTATAGACTGAGAGGATAAAGTTTCGTCACCCAGCTATGGAGCTGAGTGCATGGTGCAACATTGTGAGCTGTGCATTTCATTAGGGATTCTTTTTTGACTGTGCCCAGCGCAGTTTGTGTTGTGAGCTGCAGATTCAGAAAGTAGCGAATTCTATTTCTAGTGTCGGACTCTTTGTGTTGGCTTTTCTCATGGCTGACCTTTGCATTCCCAACCAATCAAAACAGGGAAAATTGTTTTGCAGCCCACCTGACAGCTAACTAAACAAAGAAGCAAAGACAAACATAGACAGCAGTTTTTCTGGTAAATCCAATATCACAGAGCTACATTTTTAGCTGGTCCAATATCTTTTGATTCACATCCATGAGGCCCCCGTGTGGGTTCCCGGGCCCCATTGTGGGGAAAACAAAAATAGACCCACTGCCTCCCCAAAAGCATGTCGTAAGAGTCGACTAATTGGGGAGCTTCCTTTGAAGTCGGAGTGCATCTGCCGGAGAGGCAAGGAACCAACAGTCTGTATTCAAGAGAATGAGATCTGTAAAACTGATGCACACGCAACACTCAGGTTCTGGAGCAGGACTGCAGTTCAGTAGTGGACGAGCAACCAGAACCTTCCGCCAGAGTTTACAGCTGGTGAACGCGAAGAAGAAGAAGAAGACATCCATGAGGTATTAATCCTACTAGACTATAATCCTGGAATATTAAAAACTACCTTCCCTACTCCGTTACATGATCAGGCAGAAATGTTTGGTGGCCTATCTGTACTTTTACATGGCCCATCAGGATAGGCCATACCCACTGGCTGAAGAACACTGAGGCCTTACCGACTGCTACCAGCATACCTCCACAAAATAAAAAAAAAAAAGCATTAGGATAGGCATCACTAATGAGTTTTAATTAGTACACTGCCTGAATATTTAACTAGCTAACTGGTGCCGGGAACCACTGTGGTGTAGTGGATAGATGTTTGCCTGCAGGCCCACAGAGCTTATGTTTAAATCAATCGTCATTAATTCATAGGTTTTTTTTTTTTTAACTTTGGCTTCCTTGTCATCCCAGCCTAAAATTGATACCAGTCTGGGCCGACCCTTGCGAAGGTGAATCTGGGGCAATGACAATGCATTGGCTATGAAAAGACACAGGGCTGAAGAATTAGATAGAGATACTTTTGGACATGATGGCTGATTGACTGAGATTAGGTAAAGTTCTAGGACATAAAGGCAGCCGGTATGATGGTGACAACATCAGCCATCGAGCGCAAATGTGGCTAAAAAAATAATGATGCTAACTCTAGCACCATATGGCATGCCAGATGCACGACTAGCGTAACAAGAGGACCCTTTACTTACTTGTGCAATGATTCTGCGGATCGCTTCCTTCGGCGCATCTTTATAATTTGCTGGATCTTCAGAAAGCAACTTCATCACCCGCACTCTGCCATCGGGACACCTAGCCCAGACATCAGTGAAGGTGCCACCTCGATCAATGGCAAACTGAAATAAGCCATTAGATGCCATTGAGCCCCTTGTCGGTCGCAGTTGTTGTAATGTATCCAAGCGTTAAGTGATTAAGTCGGATAAGTTAAACTTCACTCAGAGTTGATGAGATAGCAAAATTATTGGCTTGCTGCAAAACGGGTGTGATTAGTCGTTTTGTGCTTGTGAAGCTATTGAAGAGAAGATCGGAGCACCAGTGTGTCTGTCTGGAGCGCTATACCAACTAACACTTCTCACTGATTTTTCTGTAACCACTAATCACTTCGCTTGTTGCCTGCCCGTCTCGTTACAGATGGGGTACCGTCTGCTAGATACTGCGTAGTGAAATGTTCACTTCGTAAACTTCGTTTTATTCAGAATCTGTTCGCGTGGAGAGATAATTATAATTTAGTTTGCACTGTTAGGTCGTTAACTCTTTTAATTCTAGACATTAACAGAGACAAAAAGTGTTTGATATTAAGGTGATAAGAAGACAGGCATTAGAGAAGATTGTAAGGGCTAAAAAGATTGGGGGTAGAAAAGACGATCGAGAAAGGGGGGAAATTATGCTGAGTAGTCTTCTTCTGTCGGCTCTGTGGCTAAGTCGATGCGAACGCTTCGTAATGCCGTTATGCCGGGTTCGATCGCAGCTGCGGGCCATGCGCCTTGCGTTGGTTTCGACAGTGGTATCAAGAAAGCCGACCGTCCAGGAAGCATTGACAAACTACTGGACGCAAATCTACCTAGAAAAACCACACAACAGCCAGGGGTTGTTGGGGTTGGTTCTGCAACGTCATGTAAAGGATACGCAACTAACTTAGTCTTCTTCTTCTCGCTCACCGGCTGTACACTCCAGTGAAAAGCTCGGGTTGTTCGCAAAGAAACATCTCACATAAAGAAGATATGCCAGATATTGTCACTCTAAACAAAACTGAAAAGAAAGTTAATAGCCAGGGAAATGCAATGTCTAATAATGGCTACATAATGGACCAGAAGAGATATTGTTAGAATTGATGTCATGGGAGAAAACGTCGCCATAGAACCTATTCTAAATTACATGCAAAGGCACCAAATCAAAAGGTTTGCGCCCTTATAGACAATGTCTGGTGACGCTATATCATAAAAATACCATACTCACAAAGAGAAGAGGGATGTAGGCAAGGGTTAGACCAAGAAAAATATGAACAGAAAACATCAGAAAAAGTAAACAACAGCATGACGTGTCTTTGGTCGAGATGGCCAAAAGAGCAAGAGCCGGAACCTTATTTCTTCATCGACACCCGAAGCGGTTCAAGCGGAAGAGACAAAGACAAACAAGGCTAAAGCCCCTTGAGCTTTCCCGCGCTAGAAAATGTTGTCCCACTTCATTCGTACAGAATAAATCAACTCTGCACTGGCTGCTGAAGATGAGGACGGAGCACGCATGAGAATGCCCCGATTGCTGTGATGTCAATTCTTGTCTCAACTCAACTCGTACAGAATCAACCAGCTAGAAACTCACTTAAAAATGCATTGTGTTCATTTTACTTTTCCGCTTGCAATCTGGCATTAGCTGGCCCTTTGAAAAAGCAAAAACTCGTACCCCCACGGACCGATTCTTAATTCTACTATGAACTCCGCTATGCTAAACAAATATAGAAATATTAAAGATGCGCTGTCACGGAACGAATACGTTCTTCTGAACTGTGCGCTGTGTAAAGCGCGACGTCACGGGGGAAAAGATCGCCCACTCTTAACACTTCTCGCCACCTCACACATTTTCTATGCAAATATTTGGGTGGGGAGTCCCGAAGTAACCCATCTAAAAACGTCCGCCAATCCACTAATTTTGTAAGGAAGCTAGGATCCCCCCTTAAATCATCAATAGAAATTATCTTTTCCAGAATCTGTTAGTACTTCTTCTTCTTTTGTCAAAATCTGCTTGTGCCGCTAGGCGTCGCAGTCTATCAGATGATCGGCAACCGAGCCAGGGCGCGCTCAGTCGCTTCATATGCCATGATGTTATGAAGTCTCAAGTTGTCCGTGACTCCTTCAATCCATATTCTTCTTGGTCTTCCCCTGCCTCTTGGTGTTTCGATTTTCATGTTGTATGCTCTTGATGCTGGCATCGTTGGTTCCATTCTCATTAGGTGACCAAACCATTTCATTCTTTGCTTCTCAATAAATTTAACGATGGGTATGGTTCCAATAGATCAGGTCAGCCATCTGTTAGTACATTTCATGTTATTTCGGCTCTCCTCCAAACACCGGCCACATATTATGGCGGCCCAAAACAGGGCCTCAGTCACATGTAAATTCCGAACTTCCGGCGACTTAAATTGCAGACCGGCGACTATACCACCACCGCCGAGAGTATCTCCCGCGCCGCCACGCGCGGCGCAGCGCGGGGCTAAACTAGATGGTTGTTACTTACGAGCAGCAGCTTCCGTATCTCCTGTAGCTTTGCTTGTGAGTCCCAGAAATCTAGTTTAGCTCCGCGCCGGAAGTTCGCAATTTACATGTGATTGAGACACTGTTTTTGAGCCGCCATAATATGGGGCCGTTATTCGGTGGAAAGCCGTTATTTCAGTTATCTTATCATTATTTTTTTGCTATTCAGCAATTATTACTATTCTTTTTTAGCTCGCCCCAATAGACGATTTTGAAGACAGTCACTGCTAACACTAAGACTGGAAATCACACCTATAAAACAGCTTGATGATCTGGACTTTGCTGTTGATATTTCTCTTCTATCTCACTTACGGAATCAGATGCAAGAGAAGTTAAATTTGCTTGATGCGAGATCACAACAACTATATCTGAAAATCCCTAAAGAAATGGCAAAGATAATGAGAAAAAATCTGGCAAATAGTAATATGGTTTCACCCATAGCCAAACTTTAGTGCATGGAATCGTACACCTATTTGTGCACTAATGTACATAAAGATGGAGGAACTGATAGGAAACTGATAGTGGTACTAAAACTAAACTTAAAATTCCAACTCTAATGAATCACTATTAAGGGTAGGAGGAGCTTTCATACACTAGGGAATTTGTGGAGTTCAAAAGAAACTAAAACTAAACTTAAAATTCCAACTCTAATGACTTGTTAATCAATCAGCTATTATATCGGAACAACTAAGGCATCTAACTATGGACATGGAGGACTATGGCAATGAGGAGAACTAACTAAACAATTAACTAACTAACTAACTAACATGGTATGATAGAGTCACTAATGTAGAGCTTTGGGAGAGAACTATGAGTAAACATGTTCCAGTGGACCAAGAAGGGAAGAAAAGACGCTGGCTTTGTATAGGACACACGTTGAGAACAGTTAAGAACATTTTAACTAGAATGTCGTTGCTATATTATTACTACGATCAATGGCAAATCAGTTTATTTCGCAATAATACGGTTATTTCAAAGACAATTTCTGTACATAGTAAATGCTATCAAGGTAGACAGAAGAAACGTTTCAAGGACAGCCTCAAGACCTCACTGAAAGACTTCTGTATTAGTCCTAAAACCTGAGGAGTCGACGCATGTGACCGCTCATCCAGGAACTACTCTCTTCCTCAAGGAGCTGTGGCCCATAAAGTTGCTAGAACTGCAGCAGAAATTCAGAAAAGATAAGCCAGGAAAGACACTGAAGCAAATCTCCAGAGAGATGCGGACAGAGCTCAAGAAGTTTCAGTGCTAGAATTGGCCTTATCAGTCATCTGCACACTCACAAAACCTGATCAAGTCATCAATGGAGAAAGAACTGGTCATCATCACCTGTGATGGACGAACAACAACTATACATGGTTGAAGGAGCGCTCTTAGTCCCTATACAAAATTGTTGGGTGGACTCAGCCCTTCTAGTCAGCTCTTAGTCAGTGGGCTCAAGGGACCTGAGCTCCCAGATGTCGGCGCCTATGCGTTGTGCACATCAGAGATACACGCAGCCTACGGCAAATACTTGCAAATATAAAAGGGTGTCTGACTGTGTCTTATATGTTACATGGTTCACCCCTAGTATATTTTGAAATACCATTAACATATGGATGGTAGGTACTGTAGCGAATATAGGAAAAAAAACTCCACAGGGGAGCAAGTACAGCAGGGATCTACCAGTCATCAGTAGAAGTTATCCCTCGTCGACAAACGTTTCGGCCCACGACCTCCTAGACGTTTTCAGAGCGTGGGCCCACCTGAGTTTATGTAGCTTAGAGCTGGTTCCCTGCTGCACGAAATTACCGGATGGTGTTTTCTTTCGGATAGGGACAAGACGACTTGATGATTTTGCAGAGGGCACTGTGAGAGAAGAAATCGCCGCGGTAGCATAATTAGAGCAGTTTGCATACCTGGACGACCGAGCGACAAGCTTACGATTGGTATACCGGACACATGTTAGACTTTTTATTAGCAGGTGGCAGAGGAACACTGGCAGACAATTCGGACACGATTGACTTACAAGGGATGAAAGGAACCCGGACCAGCTCACCGAGGGCCATCCCCTACGTTGTTCCGTTGCGTCCAAAGCCAGCTCGAGGCCCTCTCGGCAACCTCGCCCAGCCGCTTAAGTGTTCGTTTCCGTTCATTACCGCGTAATCCTAGTTCTTTAACCACATTGTAGAGTGAAGTGGAGACGAGGCCTCTCGCTCCTACTTTGACGGCAAAGACACGTACTGTGTACCACTAGTCTCTCCTCAGACCGGCTGCTAAATCACTGTATTTCTCGAGCTTATACAGGTGATTTTCATCCATACGCGATTAATACGGGACGGTCAGCTCAATCAGGATGAGCTGCCGTTTCTTCGCAGAGTGGAGAACTATGTCAGGTCGCAGGCCGGTCTTCCGGATTAACTCAGGGTACCTTTCATAGCCTGGCAGATCAACCGCCAGTAATCAGTCCCTCGCATAGTCTAGCATAGATGGAGCGAATGCGTTTTTGTTGATATGACCTTTCTGAATCTGCCCAGCCTTGAGGAAACGTGTGGGGACGATGGTAGGACTGGCTCTAGCGTTAGCCCTCATTCTAGCCTGGTCAACAACGGCTGCTAACTCTTTTAGCAGAA